CACGTGTCTCCCCTGCAGCTTGGAGCGGGGAGCATTGGCGATCAGTGGCAGAAGATCGGCATGGGTGCGATGGATAAAGCGTCCAGTTTCAAGCTCTTGGACGCGTATTTCGATGCTGGCGGTAACTTCATCGACACGGCCAATGCATAGTCAGCCTGTTGTGGTCCAATTCGAAACTGGCTGACATTGGTTTTCGCAGTCAAGACGAGACGTCTGAAATGTTCATCGGCGAGTGGATGGAGCAGCGGGGCATCCGAGACCAGATCGTCCTTGCAACCAAGGTGCGGAGTACTGCTCCCAAGGATGTCTCGCTGTAATCTAATTTCAACTAGTTTACGATGAACTACAAAGCCCGTCGGGGCGTTGCGATCGAGGTCAACTACGCCGGGAACAGCCGCAAGTCGATGGCGATTAGTGTCGAGGACAGCCTCAAGAAGCTACGCACGTCGTACATCGATATCCTCTACGCTCACCATTGGGACTGGGACACGAGCATCCGCGAGTTGATGGATGGGCTGCACAACCTCGTCACCCAGGGCAAAGTCCTCTACCTCGGCATCTCCAATGCCCCGGCGTGGGTGGTCGCACAGGCCAACCAGTACGCGCTCGATCACGGGAAACCGCCCTTCGTCATCTACCAGGGCGCCTGGAATGTCATGGACCGGTCCTTCGAACGCGAGATCATTCCTATGGCCCGCGCACATGGTGCGTCTGGTTCTCTCTCTAGTGCCCGCAGTGTTGTCTGAGCGCAGTCCAGGCATGGCCCTGGCTCCATGGAACGTTCTCGCCCAGGGTAAATTGCGCACGGACGCCGAGGAGGAGGCGCGACGCGTCTCTGGAGAGAAAGGTCGCATGCTGCTCAGCCATGACTGGGAGCGAAACGCGCAGGAGAAGGAAATGTCTCACGCACTCGAGAAAGTAGCTGGCGAGATCGGAGCTAAGACTATCGCTTCTGGTGCGTCTTTTTCCTTGTGTGGTTCTTTTCATCCTTATGCGGGGCATGTGAACAGTCGCCATCGCCTACCTGATGCACAAAGTGCCTTACTGTTTCCCGCTCATCGGGGGCAGAAAGATCGAGCACCTCATGTCCAACATCGAGGCTCTCGAGATCTCGCTCTCTCGGGAACAAATTCAGTTCTTGGACAATGTGGTATCCTTTGACCCGGGCTTCCCTACGACCATGATCGTGCGTTTTTTGACGCGTTCTCGGGACTGGTGCTGATCTATGATGCACAGGGCGATGGCACTGCACCAACCCCTGCTTTGCTCACAGCCGGGCACTACGATCGAATGCCCCTTCAGCAGACGATTCCTCATACGAAAAAATGAGCCGGAGGCGATAAACCGGACAAGCATAGAACGTTAGTGCAAGAGAAGTAGGCCGCAGTGTAGGCATATTATATATGTGATGTAACTCTTGATTGGATCGAAGCGTGCCTTGGAAGTGCCGACACTGGGCATTCTTACTCGTGACCATCCGCGGGATGATGCCCTTCTGCTCTTTCGGGCTGCACACCCCGTGCATGATGGAGAGCTATGTAGGCTATAGCCAGGCGCAACTTGGCACAACTCTCTGCCCATTATGATCATCCCATCGCCGCCATCGACGCATCGATGACCGAACGAGTAGACGGAGAAACAGGCTAAATCCAACGAGCACACACGAAGCGGCTCGGCGAGCCGTACAGTTGAAGCAGTACGTCGCACCCACATCTTAGTGCAGAAGAATCGCACTCGGTGCACCTCCGTCATGCATTGTGACGAAGAACTCCAAGCTCAGATGAATCCTTCAGAAATAGCGGAGGTCGGAGAGTCGAAGCACAAAGAGGAGGAAGTGTCAAGAGAAGCATCAAGATCGATAGATAGCACGAATGAATTGCAACCGAAAGACAGTAGGACAACAGGCCAGTCTTCGACATAGGCAGATATGATGTAGGCACCGCACCACAGCTCCCTGCACTCTGCTTCTCCTCCCGGCGAATCATGAGCGCCAGCCAACGAAGGCGGCACCTCCCCACCAAGACGAGCCATGAGCGAGAACAGGAAGCGGATACGGAGGCCCGACGCGCGTGCGCGCCGGCCGTTACTCTTGAGGACGGGAACGCGGACAAGGAGGCGGGAGAGCTTATACCGAGTCCGAACTTTTATCTGTATGAGTGTCAGCAAGGGCTGGAGGACGAGGAGGAAAGGGGTACGGACGTCCTCGTGGTTTGTTCAAGGAAAAAAAATCTCGACGTGGGCTTTTTATAACTAAGCAGGTGCTGACAAAGCCATTACACGTGCCTATGACCACATTTCTGTGTCAATGGTCTTGTCTTGCCTCTTCGGTCCTCAGCTGCGGTGCTTTGAGAAGTGGATGTGGATTCTGCTTCTATACACCCACGTTTGAAACACGGCGAGATACCTGGCCACTGCTGCTCATGCACTCAAGACCAAAGCGATCGCCGGTATCGGGCGCCGAGAATCGAAGACCTTTGGGTTGTAGCTAATTTGCTATCTCTTGTCTCTATCAGCCATGTCTACCGCCGTCCACGCCCATCCCGACTCCGCATCATACTCTCACTCCGGCTTTGCCAACAAGATTGGTTGGGGGGCCCGCCCTGCACTTCTCATCATCGACGCCTGCCTCGCATACTGGACACCCGGCTCCCCACTCGACACGACCTCCAACCCCGCCAGCGCTCGTGCCCCAGACTCAATGAAGCGGCTCCTTGACGCCGCGCGGGCGGGCGGTGTGTCAGTCGTCTGGACGCGCGTCGTGTATGATGCACACGGCGGGATGCAGGACGCGGGCATCTTCTGGCGCAAGACCAAGTCGCTTGACATTTTCCAAACGGGCGACGAGCGCGGGCTCGCCGGCTGGGTCGCTCACGCGGGTCTGGTGCCGCTGGAGGGCGAGACGGTGGTGGACAAGAAGTACCCCAGCGCGTTCTTCGGGACAGACCTGGCGACGCGGCTGCATGTGCTGAACGTTGATACGCTTGTCGTGTGCGGAGTGAGCACTAGCGGGTGTGTGCGAGCGTCTGTGCTTGACGCGATGCAATATGGGTATCGCCCGATGGTAAGCGTCTACTGCTACACAGGATGAATGGGTTTGGTGCTGACCCCGGCGTAGGTCGTCGACGAGGCGTGCGGTGATCGTTCGCCTCAGATCCACAACGCCAACATGTTCGACATGAATGCCAAATACGCTGACATCGTGTCGGAGGAGGAGGCGATACAGAAGCTGGCCGCTGGATGGAGCTAGACGCAGTACCATACTGCTTCTGCTGTAGTCTTCAAGGCTTGCCAGGCCGGGGCGCTCGAGCTGGCCAGAGATGAAACCAATGGAATCGGCGTCTCGAAAGCAAGTACTGGCATGAATCGACTATCCCGTTTGTAGATTCACCGTCAATCTGCACAGAATCTCCGAGAGGCAGATGCTCGCACGCTAGAACACTGTTCTCTGCAGAAGGTGGAAGGTTACCCCCGATGACCGTGCAACTCTGGGCAGCAGTTGATCTCGGAACCAGGATTGGCGGGAAGCATCTAGGTCCATGATGGGACATTGATGTTGGGCGAGTGCAGAAGCCTTACAGAAAGAGCTTCAATGCAGAAACAGAGAGAAGAGCAGGAGAGGCAGCCCAAGCGGCAAGGGACTTTTGCTCGTTCCATATCCTCTCAATTTCCTCTTCTCTGCGCTGCGACCGCATTCTTGAAGTGACCCCGACTTGCTCTGTGGCGTCAAATCCCAGAGAAACCTCGGCCGACAGACTGAGTTTGCCACCCTCAGAACAAGCGCCAGCAACGATCGATTATGCCACTTAGAGTGTTGTATATCAATTTGCATGCTTGAAACGTGCCTTTCGGAGAAGACGCTCACAAAGCCAAATCCCGTCTAGATGCGATAGAATCCATGTCGATGAGGAAGGAACGAGTTACCAAGAGTCTGTTCCCTTTGTGAGCTGTTGTCGATGCCAATGGCTCAATCAATGCGCGCGGATGAGTATCGGGGATTGACCTTTGTTACCAGCGTCGCGGCCCCGAAGCCGTGATAGTTATCCTCTGGAAACCAAGCTCGTTCACTGCAATTTCTGTCAAATCGTGAATTGTCGATGATTTGAATCAGGGCGGAAGAGGGCTTCCATTGGCATTGAGTGCAGACACCAGTCGGAGAGATACGAACTCTGAAGCGGTGGCAAATGTTGCTCAGCTCTCAAAAGTAAGTCAATTCGTCCCGTGGCGCAGAGGCTCGGACCAGATGATTTCGCCTCTAGACTGGGAAGCTTCCCGGAAGCAGCAGCAGACACAGGGTTCGCGTACCTTGATGGACAGCTTCTTCGATGCCGCCTCTCCGAAGCGACGCAATCCATATTAACTGCTATTAACTGCCACGTGATAAGCCATCTGGTCTGTTCCTCTCCATCCCGATATCGTGGCGCCGAAAGGCACACTCATCTATGAGTCGATGTTTTGCGTTTCATCTACCTCATGATACTTCCGGAGCTGCTTCCAGATGCTGATGGCGGGGATACCCCGCCGTGCGGAATCTACGCATCACGCCAAGTCCGACTCGAAATGACTCAGACCCCGACGGCCGACCCGATGGGGCGCATTTCCACGGGATATAAGTGTGGCCGCGATCCCTTCAGTTGGCATCGTTCCTCCAGCACCACATCCGCTCTCATTCAATCGATCGCTCGCCTCGATACTAGCAAAAAATTATGTTCCTAGGCTTTGAAACCCTGGCACAGTTCTTTCCCGGCTTGATCCTGTGGTGTGACCCCAAGTCGTCTGAAATGGAAGCGACGACGCAGCCATCATACGTCGTGCATGACCACACCAGAACACATGAGCTCAAGCCCTGCATGATCATCGCTGTCGACTACCAGACTCAGATAATACAAGTCGCCAGGCTCTGTGGCGTGACGGTTGGTCTCTTCCCTACTTCTCCTACGCTTCCAGTGTGAATGTGAGTCAGCCGCATGATTCACGCAAGTGGGTCTGCATAAATTCGAACCCAAAAATCACGTGGAAAGTCCCGGATGCGTGGATCTGGGTGGGCACTCCCGCAGTGATTCCGATGGTTTTGCACAAGCCTAGAGTGATGCACCGTGAGGACATCTTGGTGAAATTCTTCGCCTTGTTGCTGACTTCGGAGAAGCTCATCAGGATCCATATTACAACGGGCCGGCATTCGCTCGCGCAAATCTCCAAAGTTATTCGATGCATCGCCAGAATTATTTGGAGAATTGCGGTATATACCATTAACCATCATTCCCAAATAATTCTTGCTCAATCGCTCTCCTAGCGACTAGCTACGAGCAGCTCTCTCTCGCCTCCTCAAATAATGTTTCGACACAGAATCCAGGTCCAGAATTTACGAGCCTCAGCTCACATCCTGTGGTAGTGCCGGCAGGGTTCACAGAGCGCAGCACAAACGCCCCGGGCTGGTGGCGAGATCCCACTACTGGCTGGTTCTGGCATGCCGAGAAAGGCTTATTTCCGCCGACAAACTAAGCTTTTCGGAGTTCACAAGTTCAATATTCTGGGGCACTTGATTTCAGTGCTTAACAGACGCGAGTATCAATTGTTATAAATATAATTTAAAATTCGGACCATCGCTCGCATTGTACTAGAGTGCAACAATCAGGTGCTCAATACATAACTCAGTATCGCATCAGAAGGTGCCAAGTGTGGCGGTGCATACATTTGTCCTCGCTCACACTTCGACACAGCCACTCAGTCTCAAACTCTCTCCGGACCACTTTTCGCCGATGTTGCTTCCAAACCCCGGATGTGCAATGCAAGATAGATACGACTAGGGCACAGTCTCTCCATTTAATTATATTCCAAACCCCTCAACAAGTCTCGCGGCTGGAAATGGCGGTGTCCGTGTCTGTCAGCGGGATGCAGGACGGATGAGTTTCAGTCTCAGGCGGATATGAGAGTCAGGGTGTATCCGCGATCCAGGAAGGGTATATAAGGCCCTCCCATACCACTTGATTTGTAGGATATCCACCCAACACAGGTAGAATCCCCTTCGCCGTTTACGACTCGCACGACACCTTCACGCCTTTCTTAACGACCTCTGCATCCACCCGCCAGCACTCTGCAACAAATATCACACGATGCTGTCCTCATTCACGTCGCTTGTCGTCCTTGCCGCCATCGTCCAGGCTGCCCCCGCACCGAACTTCGTTCTTGACCAGAACGCCGCCGCACAGGCTACGGTCACCGTCACGGTGACCGCGACCCCACTCTGCTCTGCGATCGCAGGGGCATCGGGTCCGTTCGCGCCTGCTTCCGCCGCCATCTCCGGTGCCGCCTCCGTTGCCGCGGGAGCCGCTGCCTCCGCTCGTCCCGTCCTCTCTGGCGCCGCCGCCTTTGCAGGCGGGGCTTTCTCCTCATTGGCCCCAGTGCCCTCCGCTGCCGCGTCCGGCGCCGTTTCCGCCGTATCGGCCGTCGTATCCTCGTTGGCTGCGGCCCCGTCTGCAGCCAACAGTGCTGCTAGCCCCGCGGTGTCGGGCACGGCTGCGGCGACTGCGAACCTTGTCGCTGCGGCGGAGACGGGTACGACGCGTTTGGTCAGCGTCATCAACCTCATCCCGACAGTTCCGTTTGCGGCTGCTGGCATGACCCCGGTGCGTGTCATCTGTAGGCTGTTGTGTGCCAATGTCGTCTGACGTGCTCGAAAGGCGTTCCTGCAACAGACTCAGGCTCAGGTGCAAGCGCTCGTTGCCGCTCTCAACGCTATCGTACGTTTTCATCGCCTGCCACCACGGTCACATCTGACTGTTCGCTTTAGGCCACGTCCCCTACTCCGCTTAGCAGCGGACAAGTCGGTCAGGTGAACGGCTACCTGACCACGCTGCAGAATAATCTGGCCCGCGTGATCACCTCGGGTACTACCGTTCCGACTGTAGTCAAGTCGGCGTTGCAGCCGCTGGGTCCTGCGCTCACTGTGAGTCGTACTCTTCCAAGTCATAGTGTCGTCGTTTTTGATCCATTCCTCCAGCGCGTCGCGCCTTCTCTGGGCGCTTCCACGTCCGCTACTGTGATTGTCCAATTGATCGCTGCGTGGAGCAAGTGAGAGTGTCGGCTTTGTCGACTCAACTCACAACTCTGGGCATGAGTCACTAAAGGAACATTTTTTGTTGATTTAAATTACTCTGGCGTGTATCGTTTGATCGTGTTAACGGCGAAGCAATTCAATCTCCTGTATCTTATTCTCGAAGAAGTTAGACTCGTGGTACAACAATCTTCGCATAGTCTTATCAGTCCAATATCTCGTCGGTGTTTTCGGACTCGCGCTCAGTTTGGCAGAACGTGAGTGGCCACTTGGCTCAGCTTGTTACCAGGACCGGGTCGTTACCCTGAAATGACGGTCAAGGAAGTATAGAAAGGAGAGGTTACAAAAGGGGCAGTTCATTTCGAGAATTCGAATTGTCTGAACTGCAGAGAATGCTCCATCTACCAAGCCATTGGCAGCCGGCCGCATGTGATTTAGTGGTACCAGCTTTGGACGCTAAACATCTCGGATTCAGCCCTCAGTGAGACCACGCTCGGATCTTGGTCAGAGCGCCCGCATTCCGCGATTCGGGGAACGAAAGCCGTGATGAAAGTGGTCAGCTTCGGTCTGAAGCCGAGTCACCATGCGAGTCAATCAGACGGAGGAAGTATTTTTGGGGTGGGTCTATCAGCTGGACTTGCTGCTGGCACTTCCTTGGCTGACTTGGTGCATCGAACATCCCGGTCAACCTTTTTACTAAGCGTACCGGGTCTTGTTTCGCGTTGATTTCATCGGATTGGCTGGTGGCATCACTGCCACAGCTACACTCATTCATGTGTAGATGATCTACAAATCCAACCTCAACATGTAATGTTATCTTTGCCCTCAAAGATCGGGCGATTGTCGGATTAAGAATTGAAGCGTGCTTTCCAGTCAGTGTTCTATCTCACACTTCACCACTTATCTTATCTTATCAGAGCGGGAGTATTTTTAGACATCATGGACTGCGCATGATAGCGCATGATCAAAGGGAACCAGTCTGTCTGATCATCGATCGTTAGCTTACACAATAGGTCCGCTCAATTCTCGCCTCAAGCTCTCGCCTCAAACTCGCCTCAAACTCAGGCATCACTGATATGTCAAAATCGTGCTTCGAGATCAATTTCTCGCCGGTCCGGACGAGTGTCGTTCCCACACATCGGCTATTCGTCTAGAATTCAATCGATTAGCACCTAATTGTACTAGTCAATAATTATTGATTCTTTCTCGTGTCCTTCCCTTGCATCAAAATGAACTCGCCGAGCCCGCGTGCAGGGGACAGACAACCTGGCTACAGAGCGTGGCCACACCAGCTGAGAACCGCTATGTAGTGTGTGCAGACGTCGAAGTGAATTTTAGCCGATGTGTGGGAACGACACTCGTCCGGACCGGCGAGAAATTGATCTCGAAGCACGATTTTGACATATCAGTGATGCCTGAGTTTGAGGCGAGTTTGAGGCGAGAGCTTGAGGCGAGAATTGAGCGGACCTAATACCTGCAAGAATCCGGATGCTCTGCAAACAGATCCTCGCTGTCATCTCCGAGGTGAAACTGTAATAGACTTCTGTTCACTGTTTCGGTGAACTCGAGGTCCCCTGAAGAAGCCCAATCTTGAGCTTGCATTGGATCGGATAACGGCAAGTGAGCTTGAGGAGCGACTCTGATACTCTGTTTGGCAGAGCGCGCGCAGGTGAGAGTCACATGGAGAGGAGGACGAGGGGCTCCCATCTGCCAGTGGGGCGTACGATTGAAAGCACTTCAAACGTTCGAATGCAGACAGATAGATGCGCCTTGTCGTGGGCGTCATTGTCAACTTCGCGTTCGCGTCCAGAATGCCGAAATGAATGATGTGATGGGAGTCAGGGCGAGTTGGTGGACCTTGGTAGACGCTCCAACCGGATCTCGGAGGCAAATCGCGAGGTACGCCTGGAGGCGCGCGCACCCATCGCATCTCGTCGCCAAGTCGTTTCCGAAAATCCCGTATGATATCGTCTCAAGCGGATTGTTAGATGATCCCAGTCTCTAGCCTCATTTGGCGCTCAGAGAGTCACATGAACCGCGCCCCAACAAAGTTTCCCCCTTTGGATCACAAGTGGAATATACGCATGGCAGGCATACAGCTCCATCGAGGAGAATTTGAGAGTTTAGGAGAGAAGGAGATCGTTCTTAAGTCTGAATTTGTCACCAGCCGTTTATATTCAAGGTCATGCACGTGGAGTCAACTCATCAATCAATGATGGCATCGGCAAGGCCTCGCCGCAGGGCCCGCAAGGCGGAAAAATCCTCGACCGTGCCTTAAAGGCGGTGCACCCCAGGATCAAGACCTCCCACATTCTGTCCGCCCCTGCCTGCCGGTCCCTGACGAAACGGAGACACAGAAGAACATTCTGCGGTGCGCTCTGCCTGTCAGACGGCCGACGTCGACGACCGTGACTCGTTGTTTGTCATCGCTTCTCCCTTTCTGCCCTCTCTCCCTTCGACCGTCCCCGATAACGCTCTTCTCCGCTATCCACGCACATCTCGCTCACACACACGATGCCTCCCCCCGAAGAGTATGATGAGCTGGACGCCGACGGGGAAGTCGATGGCCTGGACTCGTCTGCTACCAACAGTACAGCACCCTCCCAAACGACAGCGACAGCAGCCTCTTTGGCTGCCGCAAGCGGCGTCGGCAAACGATACCGCCCTGCCCCTGCGAAAACCTTTCAGTGCCGTGGATATGGAGAGTGCAGGATGGTTTTCAGTCGGAGCGAGCACTTGGCGAGACATATACGGTGTGTTCTTCGTTACTATGCATCCAGCATTCTATCTTTCGTTATCGTTGCGTCTACTGCCCACATCTCTGCTGTTCTCTGGCGGTCCTTTCACCTTTTCTGTATTCGTTCCCTTGGGCTCTGCCACGGTGATTTACCCGAGCACAATGCCCTTTTTGGTTCTGCCTTCACCAGAGTAGATTGTGCTGCAGATTCATATCCGTCTCTATGCGACTCTGGTCGCTCTTCGCGCCCGTACTCGCCTCGGCCCTCCTACACTTCGAAATGTCTGTTGTGTGATGTTGCGGCTCTGTCTATCACTTTACCTGAGCCCGGACGCTGATGGCGCCACCCGGGCCCAATCTTACTCTCTTTTTCGATCCTGATTTCGATTGCGATCCTCAACTCTTACTCATCTTTTGATTGCAGAAAGCACACGGGTGAACGCCCCTTCACATGCCACTGCGGGAAGCAGTTCTCCCGTCTCGATAACTTGCGCCAGCACGCGCAGACGGTACACGCGGAAAATCCAAGCCGCAATGAAGCTATGATGCGTGACTTGGCCAGCGTGCATGCCACGATGACCGCTGGGAACGGGAACTTGGCAACGACGAATGCCGCGTCCCCTAGCGCCGAAGAAACGGGTGCCAGCACCACAGCGACGGTCAAGCGGACTGCAAGTAAAAAGCGCCCGAACACCAAGGCTGGAGGGGTCAAGGTCAAGAAGGAGTCCGTGGAAATGCTCCCCAGCCAGCGACCGGGCACCTCGACCGGGTATGAGGGCGCAGCTGCTTCGTATCCAGACACTTCCGGCATGGATGTCGACGGAGAAGGCGAAGATGATGAAGATGAAAGAAGAGAAGAAGTTGACGTAGTGCGTTTCTTCTTTTGTCACCGACGTCGCCGTGCTAAAGAGATGGTGGCAGAAACCACATGTCCGGAGTACACAAACCCAAGCAACAATCCCCCGCCGCGCACCTCATCAGCCCTCCCCGCCATCAGAGTTGGGGAGGGCGCGTTCGTTTCGGTCCTCGCAGTTTCGAGCCAACTCCGGCGGATTTCGGCCGAGCTCAGCCAGCGCCAGCTCTGCCGCCATCGCCCCCGGAGGGTCCTTTCGTGATCCTCTCCCCGCTCAATCGTCATTCGGAGTTGGGAGAGATCGAGAGTCATTTCGAAGGTGCGTGTACTAAGCTTCATGATGGCGTGCTATACTGACCGCATGACTGCTCTGCGCATTCAGCCACCCCTATGCACGGCGGTCACCACCCGAGCTCACCCCATCCCCTCCCATCACCCAGAACCGGGTCACCTCTGGGCGCCCATTTTCGTCCGCATCCACCGGGTTCGATGGTCTTCCCGGCTCAAGGCCTGGGACCGGGGGAAATGGTACACGACTTCCGCCCATCACAGCATTCCTCCCCGCTACCGGGCTTCGCCCCGGGTCCAGCTCCAGTCGACCCGGGTCCAGTTCCCAGTCCGGAGGATTATCAGCAGGAGGGATACTCCTTCCGGGTTCACTCACCTTACGGCGACCCTCGACTGGCCACGACTGGGAATGGGGCGATGCATGGGACGTCCGACCTGGGACTGCCCCCGGAAAGCTCCTCCCCTCACGTGCTGCTCCCCCAGACCTCGACGATGCATCTCCGTTCTCATTCCATGTCCCCGACCAGCCAAGTGCCGCCAGCGCCGCCGCCAATCACGGGGGCTCACGCAAACGCCCGCTCGGCGGCCCGGATGGGCCGTATGGGCCGTATCCAGACGACGACGGCGGCAAGTCCCGGCCCGCGAGTCGGCGCTTCTCCGTCATGGAGCTCTGCAACGACAACCAGCAGCGACCGCCCACACGTGAGCGGGAGCGGCCGACGACGACCAATGGGCTCATCTCACGTGCCTCGGCGCTCGTCCTCGACGATCGAGATGCGGAACACGACGCCGTCTTTGCCTGGGAGGCGGGTGAACAGCATTTCGCCCCCGCCGACGGTCCCATTGCTGGCACAGCCCCAGGGAGTCGACCGGGAAGCGTACGCGGACGACATGCGGCGGCACCAGGAGGACCAACTGCGCCTGACGCTTGGCCACGAGATGAGCGGCGGCTATCCGGAGTCCCATCACTCGCATCCCCAGGCGCATCAATTCTATCAAGGGTATATGCTGGACCAGCCGCAAGCATACCAGGACTACCACCACCCGTATCAGACGCCTGGTCTCGAGATGCGGATGGAGCAGATGCAGATGATGGAGGCAGCCGGTTCGGGATATCCCGGCTACCAGCACCCTACGGGCTATCCGCTTCCGTACGAGCAGCCTCCCGAGATGGGTCATCACCACCCGCAGGAGTACCCGCTGCCCCCGGACGCGGGACCGCATTTGGAGGCGGTCTCCCCGGGATCGCCCTACTCACAACACGGCTTCCACCTCAGTCAACAGCCGCTTTCACCCTACCCCCACTACGGTCCGGAGACGGTTCCGTTTCACCCCGATCCCCAACATGGGTTCAGCAGCAGCACCACCGTGTACGGAGCTTCGACTATCAGCCCCCAGGACACGTTCAAGCTGTACGACGCGGATCTCCTGGAGATGAATATGAATATGACCGTCGGGTTGAGAGCGGAATGAAGGTCTGATCCTGTCTTGTAGCAATCTAATATTCTTGCCTTTACTTTAATACACCTATCTACGTACTCCAATCTACTATCTACACGCTGTGCTTGTATATACCTGCCTCCAACGTCGTTGTTTGCTGGAGTTGGTTTGGCCGATCGAATGAGGTGATCGGAAGTTTCCAGCGGGTTACACTACTCCCGATGGACGTCATTAACGCACACGGTGACCCACGCTCGCCAAAGCTTACAAAAGCTCTCGGCAGGCAGCCCTCCTCACTTCCCACTCACAGACAGACCTAATCGATATGGCTCCTACCAAGATACTCTTTACCGGCGCGACTGGTTATATCGGCGGCACCATCCTCTCGCGATTCCTCGCCGAACCCGACGCGTCGTCGCGCTTCGCTTTCACGGTCATCGTGCGCGACCCGAAAAAGGCAGAGAAGTTCAAGCAGTTCGGCGTAACGCCCGTTGTTGGGAGTCACTCTGACGAGACGTTGGTCGAAGAGCTGGCCAGCCAGGCAGACGTGGTCATTGCCACGGCGCGTTGCTCTATCTATGCTATTCCTGCTCAGCGGTGCTGATCCGCGCTCTCTCACAGGCCGATTGCGATGATCTCGTCGCTGCGAAGGCGACCCTGGCCGGCTTGAAGAAGCGGGCTCAAGCTAACGGGACCCCGCCCATCTTCATCAACACCGTACGCGCATCCAGTCGTACACCATCGTCCGGATCCTCATCCTCCTGTTGACAGTCCGGCACGGGCGAGATCTGCGACAACGCACGCGGGCTTTTCGCGGAACCGAGCGTCTATGACGACACAAACGCGACACAGATGGCATCCATCCCGCCGGAGGCCATGCACCGCAACGTCGACAACGCTATCCTCGCCGCGGACGTGTCGCAGCCAGGGGGCTTCGTCAAGACCTACATCATCCTCCCTGGGACCGTATGGGGCCTCGCAAAAACGCCTTTGGTGGCCGCTGGCATTCAGAACGACCACTCGATCCAGATCCCTTCGCAGATCCAGGCGGCCATAGATCGCAAGCGTGCGGGGATGGTCGGCGAGGGGAAGAACATCTGGCCCAATGTCGAGGTACACGACTGTACGTGCCTGATCTACGTTGTGTTCTTTGAGTCGCGATCTGAGCCGTGACCAGTGGCGGAACTGTTCTATATCGTCTACGACAAAGCAACCTCAGGCGCAGACCTCGGCCACGGATATGAAGGATTCTTCTTCGGCGCCAGTGACGATCATACACTTCTTGAGGTCGCGAAAGAGATAGGAAAGGCTCTCGTCGCTACTGGACGCAGTGACAACCCCGAACCAACGAGCTTCACGAAGGAGGAGCTGGACAAGTACTTCCAGGTGAGTGCAGATATTCTCTGATAACAGAATACTGAATACTCTCTCAAGGGCTCAGAGTATCTCGGTTCCAACTCACGCTGCAAGGCGAACCATTCGTTTGCAATTGGATGGAAGCCGGCGAAGAAAACAGCGGACATGCTAGCCGACATTCCGGATGAAATTGAAAGTCTGATTAAATCCGGTCGAAGCATCCAGCTTCGCTAGATTCGCATGTATAAAGACCTTTGCAATATGTATAACAGTCACGGTTTTGAAAATGGATAACATGTACTCAACCATGAGATGTCAGCAGGAAAACGAACTTCTGCATCGAACGCCGGATGTTTTTAGCGTGTCGCGCTGGAGTGAGTCTTCCGGATATCATCCGTGCTCAGGAATCATAGAAATTCAAGTACGTTAGTGTTGTGATGCAGCATACATGTTTTTATTTCACTTCAGCATTGAGCGACCAGTCGGCGATTCCTTCGAGGGTCGAAAGGCGGAGCCGGAAGACGACCGACAAACTTAAATCAGCGTAGAATTGAACGGCTGAGCCCTTGAACGCCAACCCAAGTCGGGAAAGGACTAGCTACAACGAAGGGCAGAATTCTCGGTGCTCAGAGAGCTCGTAGCCCAGAACCATGCGTTGCGAAGAGCGGAAAATCAACTTTCGAAATCAAGGATTCGAGTCAGAGTGGGCAAGTGGTCGCTCAGGGTCGATTTCTAGAGCTGAAATTTGTTTGCTCCCCAGGCGTGCAATTTGCACCACAGATGTGACGACCATATCTCCCCTCCCATCTTGTCGTCAGCAGTTGAGGGACCTCAAGGTTATAAGATGTGGGTGTATCGACTCAAGTGGATGGAAATCGACCGTTGAGGCTAATCCTCCGCGCCGGAGACAAAACCAGTAGCACCGCCCTGACACAGAATTTTTTCAACTGTCCGTCTCACATGGATTTGACAACGCGGGTCTGATCTCCGTCGGCGATCTCCGGGTTGAAGGGCTTACAAGGGTGAAGCTCTTCTTTGAAAGAATGACACTGTTCAGGAAGCTCATTTCAAAAATTTCCGCTTGGAGGAATCTGTGCATTTCGCCGTCGGCGAGAGCACGTTCCCAAGACGAGGCACACACACAGAGCGCGTTGACTCAGGGGTGTGGCAGCCTCACTCACTGGAGACATTTCGCCGCTCCTCGCTGTAAGCTTGCCCTGAAGCCTTCACCACGAGCTTTTGATGCTCAACTTCTGTAAGGCGTCGCGCCTATCATCCGGACAGGCGTGCTGCGGCCTGGTGATAATGGATGCCCACCTGATCGTTGCAAACAGTTGGCCCATCTGTGGATAAACACTGTCCCTCTGTCTCGAGCCCAATGAGGGGATAGAGGAAAGGGTGTTGTCTCCCTTTTAACGATCTCGATTCACGTTTCCTTTGTGAGGAGAGGTTCTGATGGAGAGGAGAACTGTGGCGTCACTCCTCATCACGAGCGATCTCGTGGCATCAATGCGCTTAAATCTTGATTGATGGGTTGCTCGCTCCTGATCTGACATGCGACGAGGGTAACAATACTCAAGTGGTCTTCAGTATCGGTGCCGCATGCCTTAGCGGGTAATTTTCATGCCAATGACTCTCCAGAAACAATATAAAATTCGACAGAACGGACGATGATCCAAGTCGGATGAACCCGTCACGTGCATCATTAGAAGTACATATGGTGGCAAAGCATGACTTCTCTTCCTCGTTACCCGTTATCTTTTTCAAATTTTCGTGGGTCTTTAAGACGCGCAGAGCGACAGCATCAACGACTGCGAAGCTGCTCACGGCTGATAATTCCCATGTGCCGCCATCCGCAGCACTGGTTGTCACTTCGAATGCACATCTCCGGCTAGCTCCAGTGCACCGACGTGATCGATGCCGGCACTCTACCATGAAGCTTGTTGCGCGTCATTTACTCTGACTAAATTCCCATCCCGCGTCCGTGATGCAAGCAGAAGTTGGTAGCATGGGGGGTCGAGACGCTGATTTGAGCCTGGGAAGTCATCCCTGTTACGACCTCGTCCGCGCTGCCAGGCATCGCGTATGAGAACCAGCGCATATAAAGGACCCTCTCGCTCTCTCTTCATCATTCCACTACTCAAGCATGATTTCCTCAGTCGTTATCCCAACCTCCGCTGCTCTTCTTTCCACCGCTATCATATTCTTCGGGCGGATTCTCTATCGCAACTGGACTTCGCCGCTCAGATTCGTTGATGGCCCTTCTGCATCGAATCCCATTTTCGGACACTTCAAGATGGTCTCGGTGCGACTCAACGATTATGTCTTGTACTTTGTCTCATTACTATCTCATAGGATATTCCCGAGATCACCAATAAATGGCGAGAACAGTACGGTGCAACGTTTATGGCGAAAGGACTCTTCCTTGTGGGCTATTCCTCCGTTTACAGTCGTGCTGCTTGATGCCATTGGAAAATGCAGGAGAACCAGCTTCACACCAAGGACCTCAAGGCGATATCGCATATCCTCTCTCATGGGTCTCGTTATCCGAAGACGTATGCGATGACCGCCACCCTCCGACGGACCTTGGGAAAAGGTATTTTGTCGGTCGAGATGGATCACCACCGGCGCCAAGTAAGCAATGCTTGTGACCAATTAGCTCATTCTAAGGCTCACAAATCGCGCAGCGCAAGATCTTGGTACAGTTATTTCTCTGCTACACCCAGTAGGACACAATGGGCTGATTTGCGTCCCCTCATAGAACCCAGCTTTCGGTCTCCAGCAGATCCGGATGATGAACGAAGTATTCGTTGAGAAAGGGAACATGGTCGGTGTTTTCTGCTTTCGCTCCCGTACCATTCGTTATCTCACTGAAATTTACCGAAGCTGCGGGACATGCTGATGGAAGAAATCGAGAAGGCAGGTGGGACATTCAACGTGAACCTGTCCAGTTGGTTCCGCCAAGTGACATTGGACATCATCGGTGAAACTGGTGGGTGTACAAGCTTCGCTGGTTATGTTTTGCCAAAGCAACCGCAGGTTTCAATTATCAATTCAACTCCCTCAAGTCGCACGGCAAGGACGAAGGGGAATTGAGCACCGTTTTCGGACTCATGTTCCACAACCCCAAGGCAAACCTTAACCGCGCCGTGCAGTTCGCACAGGTGGCTATTCCATTCTTGCAATCCCTGGTACGCATCGCTTGGTCGATTAACACCACATTATTGACCACCGAATTTCAAGCCGCTCCCGGGTTGGCGAGTGACTCGTTTCATCCAGAAGAGAATGCACGCTATCGGCAAGCAGTTGGTGGAGAAATCGAAAGCAGAGGCTGCCAGCCTTGGAGAGAAGGACTTGGGCTCGGGTCGTGACATTCTCTCGCTGCTGCTGCGGGCAAACATGTCCAATGATATTCCTGAGGGCCAGCGGATGACTGAGGAAGAAGTGATTGCTCGTGAGTATCCTCTCTTGTCTCTGGCGAAGAAATACTCAATGGCACGACACAGAGATTCCGACGTTCGTTCTGGCTGGACACGAGACTACTAGCACTGCGCTCGCCTGGGTTGTGCACATCTTGTCGCGGCATCAGTCTGTTCAGGACGAGCTTCGCCAGGAGCTGCTCTCAGTTCCCTCCGAGAATCCGACGATGGATGAGCTGAACGCTCTGCCTCTGCTCGAGAAGGTGATCAGAGAGACGATGCGGCTGCACGCTCCGGCCGTCTACACGAACCGTGTTGCAGTGCAGGACGACGTTTTGCCGCTGTCCAAACCGTATATTGACCGCTACGGTGTCTCGCACGAGACTCTCCCGTGCGTTTGTCCGCTTTAGCAATGATGTACCTCGCAAGACTGAAGGCGATTTACATAGGATCCGCAAGGGACAAGTTTTCACGATCCCGATTCTGGCCATCAACACTGACAAGGAGATTTGGGGCGACGATGCACTCGAGTTCAAGTACGCTCGGCTCCTTCAGTCATGATCAGAGTTTGACCTATTTCCCTGAAATAGAGTTGAGCGCTGGGATAACCTCCCCGAGGCGGTCCATGGAATCCCCACCGTTTGGGCGAATCAGCTCACTTTCCTCGCCGGCCCCCACAGCTGCATGGGCTTCCGTTTCACGATCGTCGAGTGCGTCTCTCTCCGTTCTTGCCGATCAATATCGTAATCCACTGACACAAAAACAGACAAAAGGCGATCTTGTTCGGCCTCCTGCGGAACTTTGTCTTTTTGCCTGGTTCTGACAACGTTGAGCCTGCTATTAGCGGGCTTTTCCAGCGCCCGATCTCGTTTGTTGCCTCCGGTCAAGTTTCTGGCAAAGTCGGCGCTGATGCCGAGAAGTCTGGGTTGATTTCCTTGGGTGGTCTGCAGGTGGTGTTGAAGCCGTACAAAGGTCAAGGCGCCCTGTGAAGTGCAGATCAACTTGTGGTTTGCTAGCTAAATACTTACTCTCTTTTGATTCTGATACAAGTAGACGTTCTTTCACACACATATTCGTCTTTGGCACTTTAGACTAGTTCCTATGTGGATACTGAAGCAAAACTAAATCTGTTGCTCATCGACCCATTTTTTGCGCCTTCCTGTCAGCCTACGCAAGACTCTTGTGCATGACAGGCCGCTAGTTTGTAGATGGAACTCAGATAACTGTCTATGCCACCGTAGCGATTCAATGCACTATACTCGCGCCACTTTGGACTTCACGGAATAGCGGGCCCATTGCAGACCACACACTCTGAGGAAAGCTCACGTTGGGGACGCCTACATGCCGTCGGCTCGGAAAACGTGGCAGCAGATATACGAATCGTGAATGGACCTACTGTATGTCAAATCTTACACCGAGAGCCCCCGATCTCGGGTAAAATTGACTCTGCGCTGACAAGCTTGATTGAGTCACACAAGTCAGGGTTTCTAAATGCTAATTTTAACCAAGACTTGTGATATCAAGAAAGTTCTTGCGGGTGGCAATCTGTCATGATTGATATGCCATCACTTCATGGCGTTCTGTGCTTCGATGAGCTGATCTTGGTGATCTCATTGTTGTAAAGAGAGACTGTGATATATTGTTATCTGCTTGATGCGACGTTTTTGAAAATGGTTGAAATCCTCTGGATCACCGAAGAATCAGCAAGGTGTGTCGAAAATAAACCCTACACTGATGATGATCAAACGCTTCGCTCGGCGCAAGTGATTAGTAATGAGCTCTTGGTCCCTGGACGCGGCAGCCAACCGAAGTTCACGACCTTCACCGGCAGCTAACCGGACCAGTGCTTCCATCTACGTGTGACAACTCATCGACTCTTTGCTAAAGACGTCAGAAATGTATTGTTAGAGCTCGAGCCGCTAGGCGACTCAGTCGTTTGGAATTGGGATGGGAGCCGGCGGGAAGCAGAATCATCATGATCCGACCGACGCTCGTGTTTGAAGAGCTCAGATGGTTGAGTCTACAAGACTTTCATGTCGTCACAGTCAGCTGCGCGTTGCATTCACAAATCGACCGTTGGTTTCGAAATTCGAGTTGTTTGCATCGGCATGAGGCCGGATGACTTGCGGCACGAAAACTGGATGGGAGGAGCGAGTCGGGAATATTGCGCAGTTCGTTTGCTCCACCGTCTCAACTTTGATCGGTATCATCTGTGCTAGATGAACTCTATCTGAAGTGTCACGTGCATCAAATTCCTGAGGAACTGCGCCACTTTTCTTTGCCTCGCTTTCAGCACCCTGCTTCGAGAGCGCTTGCGCGATCCTTTTAGCGCGCATTCATCCCCGGTGATAATCGGTGTATGCTTCATGACCCTTGTAGGACAAAGGTGACACTGCTCAGAAGCTTCATTCTCGTGTTTTGGTCATTTACTCTGACGAAACACCTTCCCAGTCTTCGTGATGCAATGAGAAGTTACTAGTGTGAGAGTTGAGATGCTGATGGGAAGCAAGTTGAGTAATCCGTTGTTACGACTTGGCCGGTTAAACGAACTCTATATAAGGTCGGTACTCTCAGATTGAATCCCTCACCCTCAAGCATGATCTCCGCCATCGTTGTCCCGACTGGCGCTGCTCTCCTCCTATACATCTTTCTGTACATCGGTCGCGCCCTTTACCGAGACTGGACATCGTCGCTCAAGTTCATCGATGGCCCGCCGTGTGCAAACCCTGTGCTCGGACATTTCATGTTGATTTCGGTGCGACCAGGCTGTTTATCGCCTTGCTCATATCGTACTCACAGCTAACAGGATAAACCCGATACTACTATCAAATGGCGAGAGCAATACGGCGCAACTTTTATGGCGAAAGGTCTCTTCTGGGTGGGTTGTTCCAAGAAATCCAGATTCGTCGCGAAGAAATCCAACCGCTTGGTGCAGGAAAACCAGCTGAACACGAAGGACATCAAGGCAGTGACTCACATCCTCACACATGGCTCGATGTACACGAAGACATCGGCAGCAATCTCGACAGGCTTACGTCTTTTGGGCGCCGGGATCCTTTCCGTCGAGCTGGATCCGCACAGACGCCAGGTAATCAGATTACTGCAGGCACCTGTCCCGGTTCTTACTGAATCTTCCGCAGCGTCGAATTCTGGTGCGCACAATGCCCCTTTTTTGCTCTACCCTTGATGACGTTCCCTGCAGAACCCTGCATTTGGCCTGCCGCAGATCCGGGTGATGAATGAGGTGTTTGTCGAAAAGGGAAATATGGTATGTGACCTCGCAGCCACCCACGCAGTAGAAGCCTCACCAAGAGTGAAGTTGCGTGACATGCTGACAAAAGAGATTGAAGATGGAGGCGGGAGGGTCACCCTCAATCTGTCAGCATGGTTCCGTCAAGTCACGCTCGACATCATTGGACAGACTGGTGCGTATCGAAGGCTTACTTTGTCCACGTGTTGGCCGAGTCTGTCAGGCTTCGGTTATCAATTTAATTCTCTGGAATCACGCGGCAAGGACGAAGCGGAGCTCAGCACGGTCTTCGGTCTCATGTTCAACAACCCCAAAGCAAACCTCAATCGTGCTGTTCAGTTCGCTCAGGCAGCGATACCGATGCTGGAGTCCCTGGTGCGTGATTGAAAGATGAGAAATATCGAAATTCCCATCTCCTCGCTCATCAGCCACTGCCCGGTTGGAAAGTCACTCGTTTCGCCCAAACAAAGCTGCGCGCGATCGGAAAACAACTGATGGAAAAGTCAAAGGCTGAATGTGCGGTTCTTGCAGAAAAGGACTTGGGGTCAGGTCGCGATCTCTTATCGCTGCTCATAAAAGCAAACATGTCCGCTGACATTCCCGAGAGTCAACGGATGAGCGATGACGAGGTGATCGCTCGTGAGTGGTCTTTTTCCCTTGTTAACCCGGTGTTTGAATTGTCGATGCAGAAATTCCGACATTCTTGCTGGCTGGGCACGAGACAAGTAGCACCGGACTCGCCTGGGCTGCGCACGCCTTGTCGCAACATCCAGCCATTCAAGACCAGCTCCGCCGAGAACTGCTCTCCCTCCCAACGGAGACTCCTACCATGGACGAACTCAACTCGCTCCCATTCCTCGATAAAGTCATCAAAGAGACAATGCGCTTATATTCGCCGGCTTTCTCGACGCAGCGTATGGCCATCCATGATGACGTGTTGCCGCTGAGTAAGCCGTATATCGACCGTCAGGGCATTTCCCACGACACTCTCCCGTTCGTCTACTATCTGCTTTGGTGACCAAGAATGGCAATGACGGACAACGCAGGATTCGTCGAGGACAGGTTCTCACGATCCCAATTCTGGAAATCAACACCGATAAGGAACTCTGGGGAGAAGACGCACTCGAATTCAAGTACGCTCCACTTGCTGCAGTGCCATCCACGGGTTGTGTTAACATCTCCCTAGACCCGATCGCTGGGACAACCTTCCTGAAGCCGTCCATTCTATCCCGAGCGTGTGGGCGCACCAGCTCACATTCATCGCTGGTCCTCATAGTTGCATTGGGTTCCGCTTCACCGTGGTCGAGTGCGTTGAACATTTCCTCTCCAAACCCAGATTGCGCTATCTGACACTCCTCATCAGGCAGAAAGCAATCTTATTTAGTCTCCTGCGGACCATCGAGCTTCTGCCGGGTTCAGAGAAGGTCGCTCCCGCCATCACGGGATTGTTCCAACGGCCAATCTCGTTCGTTCGTGGCGGAGAGGGCAAGCCTGGTTTGGTTTCCACTGGGGGTCTTCGCATCGTGATGAAGGCGTGCAAGGGTAATGCTGCTTCCTGAGATAGAAGCCCTGGATTTTCTGCTTCTCCTCTCCCGAAACAGCGTACATCGGAGTCACAGGTTTAATCGGATTTTGAATAGACAATCGCCTGATCCAGGTATCAAATTGAACGGGGAAAGCTCAACTGAAAAGCCGGAAGCAGTGACTGCATACTCCGTGGAGCTCTCTTTGTCGCCAGTATAAGTTGAAGATTGATGGAACTCTTACCGCGATCTTTTGCTCATGGGGATCCTCTGAAACTCTAAATAAGCTGAGCGCTATTGTGGACACCACATGGAACGTGATGAGTGACGAGCTGTCACATCACAAGGATCAGGGTGACCCTCATCTTCATAATCCGACCATTAGCCCCGTCGAGTTCACCAACGAAAAGCGTTCCTTCTATCTGACTCGTGAGACGTCCAGCAAATATGTCTCTTCTACGGCGATGCCATCCCATCTGTCCAATTCGACTTCTCGAAGCCCAGAGTGTCGCATCGCAGGACTCGGAGAAGGCCTTAGCATTCTCGCTGGCCGTCACGGCCAACGCTTAGTCTGTGAGAATGTCAGTGGCTCTCCTCGCTTTTTCTTTCATACGATTTCATTGCTGGGGCAGATCTTCCGACGCACAAGCTCAAAGCGCTTACTGACGCCCAAAGCCATGGTCAAATTCACAGACTGGAAGTGTCTGATTCGCGGCAGCTTCCACGCTGCTGTCCACCCGTATAGGTATGATGTTTCTTCTGGTTTATGTCCCTCTTAGGTGGACTAAGGAAATAGTCACAAGCCTTCTTCAGTGCGCTCAGCCCGTCAAAGACTTGGTCGCTCAATCATGCACTGGCCTATTTCCTCTCCCTTCTTGCTATCGTTCTATCAACGAAGTTTGGTCTTTCGCCAAATCCGACGCATTCACTAAGGAAGCCATGCTTGCAGAAGTCCTTGGGCCATTGCTTTCATCATCACGATCGATTCAGACGACTCAATCGACATCGATCATCCGACCCTCGTCCTCCGAGCCTGCTATCCAACACGGACGGATGACTGACGCCCCTCTGTCAAAAAAACTGCGGCTTCGACACAGTGCGGCCTTTGTTCGTGAAGCTGGCCAACTGCCAGAGCCTCCGAAAGATGATGCGTCAAGCATTGAAGTGTCGCTCAAGAGGTGGATGAGAATTCAACGACATTCCAGTGCGCCAATCCTATCCGTCTAAGCCATGAGAGAGAGACTGACCCCTTCGGATCTACTCACAGCGACCGAGGCCGCTCGAGCCTGAATACCCACCGTTCCTACATGATTTTGTCCGCATATCAAGTCGTGCGATGCGCCGCTCAATCCATCTGAAACCAGCAAGGGGTCCGAGTTTCAAGTATTTGGGGTGGAGATTTGTGACGATGCGACAACTGTGCGCCAAGGAACTCTCTGACTGAAAATCGATAGAGACGCGAATGTATGGCTCTTCGAATTCGATTTGTACGTCTATGACCTAGGCTGGGTCAACCTCTCTGTTGACGATTCCACATGGCTCCTTGGGTTAGTCTTCTAGCACCATGATATGCGGCAAGCGACCTTGGCGGAGCTTGTGCGGAGAGCCAGGTCGCACCGGATCGGAGTCGGTGGGCGAGATGCGTCGGAAGCAGAAATAAGGGCCGTCGATCACCGACGCTCAAGACCTCAGATCCAACTCAGTTAATGCACATGGAGCTCGGGAGGATATCAATCCTGAAGAAGAATGTAGAGCCAGTTGGATGATCTTCGCGGGCTTCCTTGGGTCTGCCTGACCGCTAACACTACATCCCGCTCGACTCATCATGAGTGCACCCCCGTAAAAATCCCGCTCAAGTCCTCCATGTGGTTTACAGTAACAACTGGTTTGGTTCGTGCGCTGAAAGAACCGATCACTCGTACGCTTCAGAGACTATATTGCGAATCAGAAGGCTGCCCGCGTCTGGGCCATGATTACTTCTGGAAATTCCGCCGTCCTTATTCGAGGACTTGGTCAGTACTGTCGAATGTAGGGACTGGCGTCGATGCCTGATTTGAGTAAACACTGGATATCGATATAGCCTCCGTGGTACCATTACCTGCTTTTCGCATATCCCAGTCGAAAACGTAGAACCTCCATGTAGCGTTCTCGAACCGTAGCGCGTGTGTGGTGAAACGCCAACAGGAGTTTGCGAAGCATGCAGGGGCAACTAAATCCCACGACAGCCGGTGCACAACAGCCGCGGCGCTATGTCCCTCCGTCTGCTCCTAAGAACCAATAAAAAATCGACCATCTGCCGCTGCAAGACGGCCCCCGATACTTTGAATGGATTTACCGGTTATTACCGAAAGTTGAGCGACTGCAAGTCATTCGCATCACGACTTCTTTCCAACAGACTCCGGCTCATCGCACTTGGAATTTCTACCGTCGCGAGGTGTTTCCTGGATTTCGGCGTGAAGCGCCGAGCAACGTTCGATACAGCGGCGGACGTCGGGCCCGCACTCAGGGTGGAGCCGCATGCATGAGGAAGCATGTACGAGATTTATGTTTCTCTAACAATTCCTTTTTGATAACATTCAGGCACAACAGCGGAGCGCGAACTTTGCCCTGCATGATGTAGAAAAAAACATCGGTCTCGATATTGAAGTCTATGGGTATTTCAAAACGATTCTGGGCTCTGCAACACGAGGACCGACCCCAGGGACCGCCTGCAGCGAGCTCAGCTTGCCCACTGCGGGGGAAGTTATCAAACATCTGGAAATTAATGATCGTGACGTACAGCATGTTGGTGCCGAGTATGCAGAGTAAATGCGAGGATCAAGAAGAATTAGGGCTTGGCCAGGTGCCGAAGACAGAGAAGACACATTGCGAAACTACAATAATCAAATCGCGCAAAGATCTGACCCGAAGTGATCGTATTCAATACCTGAACTGGGATGCGAGGCCCACACTCGGATCCTGTGACCGCCATCGCAACCGCGTAGTCCATGCGCAGTCGGTGCGTAAGCCTGATTCGAATCTCGTCGATAACATCTTCGGTAGATATTTCCAGAGGTGTGCAGGTGCAGAAGATCGGACCATGTGCATATTTGGTGAGATCGGAGCCTAGCGGCGGCGATGCGCTTCACGGCGATCTAGAACTTGAGATCAATATACAATATAACATCTGGACACTAGCCGTCCGTGACACCGGCGACACGATGAATTGGCCTGACTTGCCCTCCCCAAAAATATTCATTGGCTACCTGTGCGGCTACCTCTACAGATGAGGCAGCCGGGGTAAACAAATCCAGAGGAATTAGGGGAAATCATAGAAAATTATAATTAATCGGTGCATAAGAGATATTTAGACCTGAGGAAAAGAAAATTGAAAATACCGCGATAATTATTTTGGTGAGTTCTGCAAATGCGCCAAACCTTGTATCCGCTTCCCCTGATGACTTGAACCCCAGTAAGAGGGGTCGAGGGTGGGAACTGGGAAGATACTGGAGGTCTGAGGTGTAAAGAGAAGCAGAGGACGAGCGATCGGGTCTTCATCTGAGCTCGAATATGCAGGACGAATGTCGATGAACAAGCCAAACAAGATGCCCATGATCACGAAAACACGTACCTGGGTCTTGCGAGCAACCGACAACGAAATCACATCTGCGACAACATAAGGACTCAGGCCAGCGAGTCAAATCCGCCTTTGAGCTGCCACGAAATTGGAACGCGTGGCAGTCATGCACGGGAGTCGTGCTCGGAAAGGCTGCCCCTGCGGTACTGTTGATCCCAGATGGGGCCGCTGTCGACGCTGACAACGCTCAGAAACAATATTCTGAGTAAAATATAACCCCCGTAGTAACAGCGTAGGCAGCGCAGGATAGTGGAGCGGAGGATACAGGAGCCAAAGAGGACCTAAACAGCAGCAAAAGCGGCCGTGTCAGAAATGATGTGGTGAGCAGATGCGGGGTTCTCAGCGGCTGCAAAAGCCGCGGAGGAAGTGGTGATAAGTGGGTATAGAACACATGCATCACTATGACCTTCGCCGTTGCGGCGGAGTTCCCTTCAGGGACAAAATCTGGGGTGGGAACTGCCTGAACGATAGCGACTAGAGCAAGAGCTACGAGAACGAGGAGACAGTCTGGGGTTATGAGATATATAGATCCTCAGGCCGTCGTTAAGTGCTTGCAGAGGGAAGTCGTGAACGGCGAGGGCAATTTTACCTGTCGAGGGTGAATTTCGGCTCTTAGGATCAGCGAGCATTTATTCTGTTCACTGATTTGGGGCACATCCTGAATTTAATCCAGGTAAAGAATTAGACGAAATGAAGCACTCTTTCCCGCCCAGAAATCGGCAGAATACAGCTGGACCCGCGAGCGGAGGCTTTGTGTTTTTGATGTTACAGCCAACTCGTGCCATGGATGGTCACGTACGATCGGAACGGTCATGGGGGGTCAATAGAGACCTATTATTCGTTCTACACGCGAGAGTAAATTTAGCTGAGGCTCCTCGATGTATTCTCGGCCACCGACCAGAAACTGAATGCATCTGAAAACAAACATCGATGAGTGGCGATGACCGGCTTTAGTACGGCCCGGAGTTCGCGTTAGCTGAGCCGCATTTCCGAGCCCTTTGCGATCATTCTTGCGCGAGCTGATTCTCCGGGAAAGCGAGCGGATTCTGTGACCCAGCGAGCTGATTCTCCAGCCCATCTCCATCCGCAGTCGGAGAGTCCGGCCTGCCGGCTGTCGGTTCCTCGGCTACTCAGCAGATCACCGCCTAGACCATCCCCCTCGGCCGCAGGCTAAAATGCGTCCTGTCAAGCTTTAGCTTTCGTCTTCTTCGAAGGTCTGTCTGATGTCTGGCCCCTGCGACTTTGATACTTGCTGAGAGTGGCCCCCAGTCACTGTCGACTGGTTTCCGTCTCGAGCGGCTATATTCACGACGAAGTAGGCCCGCCAGAGCAGATTTTGCACCACGCGCAACTTAGATTGCCCGAAATCAGATTTTTTCCCCGATTTCTTCTAATTTGTAATGAAACCAAGATTAGCTCTCTATTGCTTACAGCGCACTCATCACCCCCGGGCGCACGAACACGGTGCAAGAAAGCTATCATGTTTGATACCCGGGGCAAAGGCCTGAGAGATTTTGCGGGGATTTCTATGCTGACTGAGCAAACACTACTTCTCACCTCGATAAAATCCCCCCGATAAGTCAAGGCTATCTTTTGACTCTGATTTGGACCAAGTATTCCGAATCACTAAAGGGGATAGTGCCTGGGGGCCCGCTAAGCGTGTGCTCAGAAAGGTAATGTCCGCGCTCCGTTGAAAGGGCCGAGCTGCGACATTTGCTCGAAATGTGGGACGGACCAAATGGTCGTCCAACGTTCATGCCACAAGTTTGGGCTCGCCTGTCACCGATCTTCCCGCTTTCCCCTCAATGGGTGTCCGGACATTTTCCGCTCAAGGACCTCTGTGTGGCCATCAGCTCACCGCCATCATCCCTCATGTCACTCGGGCGGCGTTCGTTACTTCCGGTTCATGTGAAGACGTCAGGCCCAAACAACTCATCGACGGAAAACATGGAGAGTTTGGCTCTGTCCGGACTTGAAACATTGAGGGCTGCTTTCCCACTGCTATTCACCAGGGGCTACAGGTCGACCATGCTACTGAAACGCATGTGGAATATTCAACGCCAATCTGGATGCTGTGCACGTTGTTCTCGTCATTTCCCGGTATTCGGAGAAGCAGTGTGTCTTGAAATTTGCGGTCCGTAGCAATGGTCGAATATTCCGAAGTCGGATTTCGAGGCGAAGGATCATACGGACCGAAACATGTGGCGAGTCGTAAAACGATCCGTCCTGAGCGGGGAGGTAACGGAACTGCAACGGGTCCACGGAACTTGAGATTGCCCGATCTAAGAAGAATTGTCAAGGCCTGTTGGCCTGGAACGCCAAGGATCAACGATCCACGCGCCCTTACAATCAGATTGATGAGCTCATATTCTGAAGAAGTGCAGTGCGTTGGTTCCACACATAAATACCGGACACGGCGCGACTTGATTCTTCCTCTCACAACCCCTTCAAGATATGGATTCCTATAGCCACTTGCGCTCTATCTCTTCTCAATACATGAATCAGATGCGCCCGGAGCGCCGAATCGGTTCGCATCTTCGTTGCATGAATGTCCTTTAACTCATTCCCTTTGCCAGATTCCCTCACCGTGTTGTCCAATTCCTACATGCCCACCAACACGTACAACCGCAACCCGTCCCCCGCACAGCCACAGCACTCTCCGGGTCCCACCCATCTTACCAGAAGGGAGTTCGATTTTTCGGGCCTCATTACGATGCAGGAACCCTTGAACGTCGCGCATCAGCGCCCTGGCACTTCATTCACGAATTGCGATTGGTCCGCAGATCCTGCCTTCTGGCCGGTCTATTCTCAGCGCGACCAGTGGTTATCGCACGGCGAACTCTCGCCAAGCTCCTCCACATCTGCTTCGCCTTCTCCATCTGCATCTCCGTCCCTCTGTCCGCCCAATCTGTATCCCGGATACTCCGGACCTGCTCCTGCGAAAACGCCCAAGACTTGCGCACACTGTGGAGTAACATCGACCCCGCTCTGGCGGCGGGAGCCCGGCACAGGCCAATCGCTGTGCAACGCATGTGGCCTGTATCTGCTGCAGCGAGGCAAGTCCCGGCCACGTGCTCTCATCGAGGCGGACATGGACACCCCGTCCGTGGACGCGCACATTCCTGACTCCGAGTATTCCGGGACGATGTGCGCCAATTGCCGAACCCGCGCGACGAGCGTTTGGAGGAAGAACGTCGGAGGTCAGGTGGTGTGTAACGCCTGCGGGGTTTACGAGAGACTCAAGGGGCGCACGCGGCCGATCCAATTGAGGCGGGACAAAGTCAAGCCGCGGACGAGGCATGTGAGGAGAACGTTCATACTGAAGTGATTGTTTGAAGATTGTAGATTGTAGTTTGGATACCGTCATGTGATCGCCTATCTACAGATGTACTAATGCATGGAGAATCTCCTTCTTTCTGACGTCTCATGTATTTCCTCCGTCAACGAGATGCTCGCAGCACAGGATCACGTAACTGCCTAATCGGCCCGGAGATGGGTAATGGCTGTTACCTAGCCCAAAACAAACTGTCTGAACGTTTTTCTGCTTGGATCAGAGGGATGCTTATTCACTCGTCAGTTCGAGCCAGTCACAGACCAGTGGGCCAGATCCTGCTTCTGAATCGCTTCAGTAGATATCGGGCCTCGGACTTTATGCCGCATTGGACGATCATGAGCAATGTTTGCGAAGTCAAAATGCTCTTACCGACGAGAAAATTTCAGTGGCGATTTGAATCAAAATTCTATCATGTTGCAAGTCCCTGGTGGTTTGATTCCCGATCCACGACGGTTCTCTAAATTAGGTTGTAGTTGTCGCGCGAGAAGATGCCGTGCACTCTGGAACCAGTCCTCGCGCGGATCAAAACCGAGGATGAGTCACAGATCGGAGTGCAGTCGAATGGTTCCTGGCCGAGACGATTGCATTCGTGAGAGTCCAAGATAGCAATGAGCTAATCGGGGGTAGCGAATGAGTCTACCATGGCTCCAACGCTCCAGGCTGCGGCGGAATCGGCCGATTGCACTCTCGTGTCCGCAGCGTCGTGTGAATCAGGATGCCATCAGCGCGAAGACACCCGTCCGCACGTATTGTTTTGCTAGCCACATATCATAGAGCTGGGATCGACCTGCAAGGATATATAGTCGATACCAAAATACAGAGCGATCACGCTTCTCGGCTCCCGCGCCAATGCCCGTCATCTGTGCCAAGAGTCAGCGTCTCTTCTTTGAAGCGCAGCCAAGACGAAAAGTGTACGTACTTTCACGGTCCGGCGGGCTCCGACTGGGTCTGCGCCGGTCCCGGCGCATGCCCAGTATGTGCGCAGGGACACCGAATCGCACTCCCACAGGCGCCGCGACGGGATCGATCGAGCGCGAGCGGGCGGCCTGCTCCGTGACGGCCTGCTGCTGCAGACTGCGCGCGAAGCTGATGTTGCCGTAGCCACCACGACCGGGCGACGGCTGAGAAGGACGGAAGCGGTTCGTGTCAGCTCAGCGCGAGCGGGAGGGAGTAAACATCAGGCACGCACGATAGCTATGCGCCTCGCAATATGTGCGTCCAGCAACTCTCGTTCCCGCTCGCTGTACGCCCACTCGAGTTGATGATGTGTCGTCGTCCCGTGTGCGATGTTTCCGTACCCGCCCCGCCCCGTGGTAGACGCAGAGGAGAACGGCGCGTTGCCACGGCCACGACGTTGTGTGCGATCCCGGCCGCGAGGCCAGGGGAACTCAGGAACCGGTTCTTCAAGGGGTGGGGGTTGTGGAGAGTGTCGACAGGGTACGGGAATCGATGCGGGTGCGGGATGTGGGTGATAGTTGCCTAGGCCGCCGCGTCCTGTTGTGTACTGCAGAGACGGAGTGAGTGGGGACGACGGTTTCGTGATTGAAGGACGAATCTGACACCGTCACCATGGCCTGCGAGAGCTAAAGAGAGAAGAGACGATGAGCATTGGGGCAAAGAGGCAGAAGGGAGAGATGTAGAGGGAGGTGGTGAGACAAATTTGTGGCCGACGGCCGATAAGAAATACGGTCATCTCTTATCTCTCGTCGACTGCTTCGGACCACCACCACACAACGCTGTAGCAAAGAGATGCGCTCACCATTCTCCTCCACCAGCGTATCCGCGAGCGACTCGGTCTCCGCAGCCTCTCTACTCCTTCGTGAATTCCCCGTCGGCGAACCTTGTGCCCGGGAATGCGACGCGAAAGCAAGGGATATTCCGGAGCGCCGCGGGGGTCTCGTAGAGCTGGAGTCACGGCCATTCATAGCGGGGAGCAGGATGGTGGAGAGTGTCGCAATATGAAAGTCGTGAGTCACCGATTCCGGCAGTGGTGCCACCCATAGTCGATCCGTGAGATTGAGGCTAGCCTAACTTTAGCTAAGGAGGTTCGTCACGGCCGTCAGAGATGGCGTGTGAGCACGAAGGCAACGTGTGTCCGCGTCACGTTTCAGCCCATGTGTGTCTACCGCTCGTCGCGTGGGGCCTTGGCGCATGGTCTGCTGTGCACTTCTTGCAGACAAGAGTACTCATCCTTTCCCAGCACGATTCCGGCTCTTCGTGAGGCGCCGTACGATGTCGCACTTGAATGCAAATCCTCCTGCTCGTCCGTCCTTTCTTTTGCTCGCTTGCGGCAATCATCCTCGAGGCTTTAGGCGCACGGTTCGGATCCCGCCTCAATCATATCTCCTGACGCTGCCGTCGCATCAACGACCGACCTTTGTCTGTGAGATGAAAAAGAGAGGACTCCCACATGCTCCGTTCACACCCTCCCCCAAGTCTCGTCTAAAAATCCCAGTCTTACATGTGTTGCATGTTTGAACGTGCGTTACTTCTACCCACGAAAGACTGTTGCATCTGCCTTCCCATCCTTTGCACGATGTCTATAAGAGCGACGCGGGGGGCTACGTGAAACAAGCTGAACCCGAACCTTCTCCAAAGCCAAGTCCCAGATGATCTCTTTCAACGCAATCTACCTCGCTAGTTTCGTCGTTCTTGCATCTGCGCAGAACATATTACTCACGAATGACGACGGTGTGGCACAAGAAGAGTGGATGATTCCGCAGATGCTGATGAGAAGTCTAGGATGGGCCGTGGCTCTGGTTCGCGCACAGAACGATGCCCTCAACGCCGCCGGTTACAACGTCGGCATTACGCCATCCGGTCTCCTGGTATTCTCCCACTCACATGCTCCCCAGGTCGTCTTGTCCTGCCCGGCGATCAATAAATCTGGCACCGGTTCGTCCACGACGACTCCGACAAAGCTCACACAGCCGTGCGAGTTCAACACGTGCCCGACTGGGTCCCCCGCGGAGGGTTTCAACGCGACGAATTCTCGCCTGAATTGGGTCAACGGCTTCCCTGGTGCGTTGATCGCATTGCGTCTGCATGTTACTCACACCGGCGGTCAGTTGATTCTGCGAAATTTGGTATCCAGACGCTGGGACCTAAGTTCTTCGGCGGCGCGAAGCCCGTCTTCGTTGTCAGCGGACCAAACGTCGGAAGTGAGTCACATTGGGTTCTTATGTGACATGAGTCATGGATACCGTGTAGATAATCTCGGAAGCACGGTTTTGGTCTCTGGCACAGTGTGAGTGCCAGTCCAGGATTCCCTCCAACCATCACTCATCCAACCAGTGGGGCCGCCACCGAAGCCGCGAAGGAGGGAATCCCTGCCGCAGCCTTCTCTGCCGCGACGGGCGATCAGATTTCGTTCACCACGTTGACCACCTCGCCGAACTCGACAGACTCGCGCGCCGCCATCGTTTACTCCCAACTCACCACGAAAGTCCTCTCGCCTCTTTTTGCGGCGGGAGCCCCCATCCTGCCCGCCGGAATCGTCCTGAACGTCAACTACCCGACGTTCTCCGCCTCGTGCCCGACTGCCTCGGCGTTCAAGTTCGTGCTTACGCGCATTAACGCGGACAGCAGCGCGACGGATGTCCAGACGTGTGGGTCTACGCACCTGCCTACTGAATCCAGCGTCGTGGCCAAATCGGGATGTTTCGTTAGTGTCAGCGTGATGGAGGCCTCGAACAAGGGGGATGCGCCAGCCGCGACTCAGGCGATCGTTCTTAGCAAATTGACCTCCATCTTGTCCTGCTCGACCTGAGCATATACTTGTACGATTAGCTGATATAAACGGCACAGTCCATGACGTTATACAATGTGTGTGTTTCATCTTTGTCTTTGTCCGCTGTTAAAACGTAGTGGTCATATGGGGTCAATTCGAGTGTGCGACTTTTACGCTTCAAGCCCGTCGAGGCAAAGGCCACTATGTGGTTATCAGCTGGGACGTTCAGTGAGCAGGTTTGACTCTCCGGCTTGGCAGGTAGGTATGTATGCCTCAGTCTTCTGTGCATGTTGATCCGAGGACAGGCCGCATCCCGTATGGAGAGAATCCGAGCTTTGTGATTATGGGAGGAGAAAGAGAGATGCGTTAAGTATTACTACCATCGTTCCGGCTGGTTGCAAATTGCGCGGCCGCCGTCCCCCATTCTCGACGTGATGGGAGGTGGAGCAGTAGTGACATGCCGCCGTCGCCGGGCAGCTGTGACTCAAACCTTTCCCAGGTATTCTTGTGAGGTAGGCGTCGGAATCTCATCGGGCATAATCAAGAGGTACTATACATGATGGTAAGACAACACGGGCAGTTCAAGATCGTTGAAAAAATAGTATTCATGGTAGTAGACAAGAGAAAATGAACTTGAACTGCATGGAACATCAACCAATTGCACAGCGGGCCCCACTTGCCCACCGGTCCCACCCTCCCGGCAACAGCGGCATGTCACTGCTGCTCCACCTCCCATCACGTCCAGAATGGGGGACGGTGGCCTCACAATTTGCCACCAGCTATCATGGCATCTTTGTCACCAGATCATTTCCCGATATCCCGCACTCGATCGCCACTCCCACATGTCGAAGTTTGAACTAAGGCTTGTGTGATGGCTCCTTGGGAATCGCTTGTGCCGCACGTGAGGCTTCTCTCATAGAATTTGTTGCACCGTCTCGCTGCGGCAGCCTGTTATCATCACTGCCAAGCTCTGTCCGGGAGGCTTGGGGTGTTTGCATCCCCTTCGTATGAAGGGGACCACGATGCCCGAGTGCAACCTCAATATGTTGGGGTTCAAACTGTGCCCGGATAAAACTGTCCAGGCTCGATATGGCCTGCTCGCCGAATCCAGCAAAAAAAATCTCCCTTATCAAGCTTAACCTGTGAACTCACTTCTGCGCAAATTGTGCTTCGGGATGAGATCGGAACGCCCCCATACACTTCTCAAAGCACCAAGAAGTAGCACGATTGATGTGTTTTACGGCGAATCTGGCCGATCATGGGGAACTTGTACCAGGTCATGTTGAGTAAGAGATTGCAACGAGACGGATGAGACATCGATTTTTTTCGCTGGTTGCCAAAGCTACAAGCGTGCAACGACATCAGCGCAGAAGATTGAGCAGCCCTCCAACAATTTGGGAAGGCCCTGAACCTTTCGACGATCATTGGTTTGACTAGGGGATCCATCCTGAACACGATTGGATCCTCAAAATTTTGAATATCGCGCATCAGCATATGATCCCCATCATGTGCAATGAAGTCTCACCTCAGTTTCAATCATGGCTACGAAAAGCCCTCGCCTCCGCTTCGGAAGCCCAACGCAGCGACGTGCTCGTCGGTGTTGTCGTTCTGGAACCACAGCAAGCGCTACACGAGATTTTTCTTAGCCGCTGGGATCTTGAGGCGCTTCAAAACAGCCTTGAGCAGTCTCGCCTCAACAAAGGTAAACGGGTCATACGCTTAACGTCAACGTTCCGGCCAGCGAGGTACAATCGGATACCACGCTATTCGCGCTTCCCCGCACTCATACGCTACATCATTCAACAATACATCTGATCTCGACGTCGAGCATGTAAATGTTCTGTAAATCCCCTGGGACCCGACTTTGGATGCCGATTTAGACACAGCACTATCGTAGGCTGACTCTTGTATGTATCACTAAACTTGAATCGCTATCATACAAGTCACCAAGCACGCTGAATGCGAGAAAGTACATGGGCAAGATACCACGCACACCACCAACTCGAACATGAATCTCCGTCGTCGTCGTACAAATCAGGATCTCATTCGTTATGAACTGCATCATACTGGGAGCCGATCGAGAACGTTTGAGATAGTGGAAGCCGGGCCCGAGTAGCCAAGTACTGTGGCAACTTGCTGGAAACGGCCGATGTCGGTTAGTAGCTATCTCACTCGGAGGAATTCGAGGCGGGCTCACACTAAGAGGACCCGAGAGCGGCTTTAATGTCGCGAGAACCGGTGTCGGGATCGACGGGCTTGCGAACAGCAGTTGCGTGAGCGAGTTCTGCAGCGTTCGCAAAGCTACGTTTATGCCCAATACCTCGTCTGGGGTAAGTGCGCGAGATGGCTGCTGATTGGTCAGAACGTGAAGCGAGAAGCAGCCAGGCACGATACGCACCAGTCCGGTCATGCTGCTCGATAGCTCCGCGACGAGAAGTAAGAGCTTGACTATGATCGTCTGCGGCAGGAGATCAGCGACCCGATTCAGAACCACGACGACAAGAAGCACGCTCACGTGAGCTCCGCCCCGGGAGTAGGCCACATTGGGCAGCACATTCATCACATTCACTAGCCGTGTGACACCCCACGCCACGTCCATTACTAAACTCCTTGTCGCCATGTCGCTCGCTGCCGCAGCGGATCCAGAGGGCACGGGACGTGAACCAGTGACCGAAGAGGGCGTCTTAGAGGCGGAGTAAGAGAGGTATGCAACGGCATCGGCCGAGGCTAGGGATGCGAGCCCTTGATTCGAGGGCTCAGAGGACGTCACAGGGAGAGCGACGGTCGCTACAGCCATCGCGAGCGGAATCGATGCGGGGATAAACTTCATCTTCTTGAGCAGTCGTTAGTTTGATTCACTGTCGGGGGCAATTGAAATGCGGGTGTTCAGTAAGTGTTAAGACGCGCAAGTGCGGCCGCACCGTTTATACGGCGGATAAGAGGTGTGTGTCTAAGACAGCAGGAGCGGGACATGAGCGAATAGCCGATAATGGTGGGGCCCGTGCATGTGAGCGCATGTGAGACATTTTCGTCCGGCTAAGCAAGGCAAGATTGTGGCAGGGTCAACTTTTGGGGGAGTGGAGACCAAAAGGCAAGCGGGACAAGACCTCGAAAAGCAGTCTGCTTTCCCGGTTTGACCCGAGATTCAATCACGTGATGTTTCACAAACCACTGGTGCATTGGACAAAGAAAATAAAAGTAAGCGGAGAAGGGTATTTCCGAACATGAGAAATCGGTTCCAGAAATTATATAGACTAGATGCCCTCAATGACGCATTTTTTGAATACGAACACGTCTCACGTTGCCCAGCGAGCCGAACGCTACCAGGCGCAGAATCCACAGTTGCATTGGATGATACCGGAGCGGGGGACTTGGTAGGATCCTCTGATCTAGATTTGCGCACCTCCTTAACCTTGAACTTTCTTTATGCAAACTTTCGGCAAGTATTGGCTTCTATTGACCATTCTTCGTGCATCTAATATGTCACGTGGCTCGGGTTGAAGTCCAAATTTAGGGATTCCTCTAGCGAACCGAAGTATCCAAATTAGGTTGACGTGTTCTAGATATATTTCTGCTCCTCCTTGACTCTGATTCATGAACCAGGAGGCGATCAGCAACACACAGCAACGTCAGATCCGAATCCAGACATGTCCTGAGGTAAACCGAGCTCCGACACAGTATGAAAAGGGCTGCTCCTTGAACCCAATCCAGCATCACCCAGCAGACAGCGATATCATGCAATCTTCAGCCAAACTTGAACAAACGGCACCCAGTTTCTGTCTCTACAAACTACCTCCGGGCGTCTCCAAGGTCGACTTCGATGCGCAACTCAACCAATTCATGGACACGATGGCTCAGCTCCCGGTTGTGCAGGAAAATTGGGCCACCTTTGAGCTGGTATGTACCGGTCCGAACACTCCGCTGTGGAAACCGATGTCACCTATAGATCCTCCAAAACGACAAGCTTGATGGGTGCATCACCGACTTGGGTCTCCCTGCGCCGCAGCAATGCGCAATCCTGATCACCCACGCGCACGTAAATTCATTCCGAGATTCGCCGCGAGGGAGAATCTCACTCTTCCGAACAGAGTCACGAGCACTGCGAGAAGCTCACGAGCCACCCGTCGACGCAAGACATGGTTGCCGCCGCCACCGCATCGGGGTTGTTTGCGGACGCATGCGTCTTCTCTGCGGATCTGCACACGACGGTGCACATACCCGAGGCCGACACCAGGGTCCACGCGTTCGGCGTCTTCAAGACCCATCCAGAGATGTCCATCCCGGAGCTCCATGCGAAGCTCGAGGAGCTCATGGATTCGATCATGGAGAACGTGCCGATCGCGAGGGCGAATCTGGTGCAGCACTCGCTGGTGAGTATTCCGAATGACATAAAGCTTGTTGTTTTGGTCAATCTGAGCCGGAGAGCAGTGGTTTCAGAAGACGGACGCCGTGTCACAGCACATACGTAACATCGGATTCGGCGATCCAAAGGACGATATCTTTGTCGTAATTTTAGAGACTGAGGTGCGATCTGATTGGGACTCATTTAGATTTATACACTGACAGATTTTTTGCTAGACGATGGAAAAGCTCATCGAGGTGAGGTTTACTGCGAAACCTGCGGCACAGCAGCTAACTTGATGTCACAGGTGATACAAGATGAGACATTCCAGGAAGCCCTAATCGAAGGGCTCAAAGACTTTCCACACCTCTTGGAATGCTCGATTTTCTCAGCGGATGTTTTCCCGAAGTTGTGACGATAGGAGAATGAGTTCATTACAAAGATACGCAAACAAGATTTCATACGTAAACAGTTCAGCAGAAGACGACCCGGCTTAGATTACCGGACTTCTCATTGATCTTGCAGTCATTTATCCAATCAGAGCCCGAGGCAGCCCAAGGTCAGACCGAACAGAAGGGATTTCAGCAGCACGACAACATCAACAATTCTGCAGAACAAAAATCAGTACAATCCGCTGCCGGCCCGGGAAACAGACACATACAGTCCTCCTACAAGAACGAGCACGCCCCCGAGGACAAGCTCGACACCGAGCAGTAGCACTTTCAGCGATTGGTCCAGACTAGCGATGAGGGTCCCAAGAGTAAGCACGGTGCCCGCGCTCTTGCATCCTTCGATGGTGTAGGTGATATCCTGGCAATAGGCTCAGCAACCGCGTTCCGCGCCAGAAATACCTCAAAAATGTAAAGCACCTTGATGATTTCCGCAAGTAAGCCTGCGCACTGGGATTTCGACCCTACGCCGGAAAGCGAAACGGTGCCGAGAGCGACTACGGCGATTTCGATTGCGGCTTCCAACTCAACGATGAGCGGGCCAACAGTGAGGTCCGTGGCGTGTCCCTGGGCGCAGAGAGTGTCTGAATGCGGAGTCAGCTCGAAGGGTCCACTTTCAACATTGCGAACTGACTGATTTGGGGCAGCACGACAGCAACCGAAGCCTGGAGGGTGACGATGATTCCGACGACATCGACGCCGGAGTTACGCTCCTCGACCACAGCGACCGCACCGGCCTCAGGGAGGGGAGTGGGGCTGGCAGCCACGAACGCGGTGGAGACGAGGAGCAAGAGAGAAGTGAAGTGGCGAAGGGCGAACATGTTTTCTCGGACAGATGCTGCTTGGAGGCGGCTGGTGAGGAAAACTGACTCGCAGCTCACCCTTATATACCATAGTGTTCACAATTTGTACCGTCACTCCTGCGTCATAGAGGACCAGCGACGGGGAAAGAGAAAGCATAGCGAGAGATGGAACATACCTTGACCTGGGCTCTGCGTGATAGATCCCCTTGACAGGCGGCTGTAGACCTTTCATTCCTGTCACAATTCGTTTTGTCAAGGCGTTGAGACATCGATCTACTGTGCGTCATAGAGAGTAGATTCATAGGACGATAGGACAGTTCCGCTGAGACCTGAAAGAGATACAGAGAGCAGGCCGAGCGTATCGCAAGTTTGACAATCGCAAGGATATGTTAGAAACAGAACCGCCGCAAAGAGGTCCGATCAGTAGTGTCTTCATCAGTGGAGCTCCACCACATGGCACGGCGACTTTTCTTCTTGCCTGTCAACATGGGAGAATCGGGGTGAGTAGAAAGTCCCCGTCATCACGCGATTCAAGGGACGAAAAAAGAAAACATCAGCAGTACCCCGATTCATGAAAAGTCCGTTCAAAACTTGACCCTTTGGCTGGATTGAAGAATGAACGGGTCCGCCGATGGTCAGGACGAGCGAACACGGATACCAATCTGCAGGACCTGCCTTAAGATCCCATGATGCTGCATGGTAGCCCACGGTCCGAATCCGAATCCAATAGCAATGTCGCTTCTGACAAGATGCACGATCCAGGCCAAGAACGAGCCTCCTCGAAAATACGTGATCAGCAAAAACCGGGACGATGAGCAAAGGGTCGCGAGACGAACGTTCGACGTTTCTCAAGCTCATCAGTACATTATGAAGAGATCAGGTCAGATGATATCACCGCTAAGCGTTGCTCGGTTTGGAAAGGTGGAGAGGTAAGCTAAGACTTACTTCCAAAGCGATCGGATGATGATGTCCGCCCGTTGATTGCATGTCACCCGCCACAGCCTGAGATCAAAATACGGCCTCAGAGGACATGCCGACTTGATTTGCGCTGATTGTGCGCTATGATCGCCGATCATGCTTTCTTGTTTCGAAAGCGACAATCTCAATGCACTTTGAGCGCTGGAGCCTGCATCTAGTGGGAGATCAGCAAGTCGTTTTCTGAGGTGAAGAACCAGTCCTTTTAAAAGTTTCTGGGTGTTTGAGAGAAACAGAAATTCATAATAGGCCAATTTCACAAGCCAATTAATTTTCCATCAGCACATGCCATGTTTAACATCAGAGACTCTCTCGGCATAATGACTAAGACCTGCGCAATCGCATCGACAGTTTCAATACAGGAAAATGGGTAAAATAGCCCCTTCGCGCCAAGGAGTCTGAACCAATCCAGCGGGGCACCGAACGTCCTTAAATAGTATCGACAGACATCTGACTTGAATAGAGTTGAAGAGAGTTTGGGTGCCCGTACTACTGTTGCATCGGTGGGAACGTGAATCCACCCTGAGCACACCCACATTTTACCCATAGAACCGGTTTGAACCACGCTCAAGCGGGACCTGAACGCAGCGGAACTCCTCAGCGGGTGGGGGCCGTCCCGCAGGCCACCATGAAAGTCACGAAGCAGGATGTGGGACTCCAGCGGATCCCAATTGGCCCGTGGTAAACCGATATGATTGATCTTGATCCAGGTAGATTCAATGGACGATTGAACCTTCGACCTTGGCGATCTCGCGGCGACCATTCTTCATCTGATGTAACTTGTACAAGCAGGTTTTTATTACGTCTGTCTACGTGCGGACGTTGGCAGAATATCATATCTCTCTGTTTTTGTCGAGGGATCTGCGTACTCACGCGGCAAATTCTGGATGCCCGGGAAAATGGTTACAGAAGACGGACACTGTGTCACAGCACATTCGGAAAATCGAAATCAAGATTGAATGGACGATATTTGCGTGGTTCTTCCGGACAGGTGAGTTATCGGCCAAAGTAGATGCGGACTAAGAGGCTCCAGACGGCTAGGGCTGCTGACACCTAAAATGTTGGAATTCCTGAGCGGACGTATCATCAAGGTTGCGACTATGAAAAAACAAGTTATAACGGAGATTCAGAAAAACGAACAAAATTTCATGCTTATGTAGAACAACAGAAAGGGAGATTCATAGGCGGCTCAGATTTCCCAACTTCGAATTCATCTCGGTCCCGCTTATGGGATCAGAGTCCGAGGCAGCTCAGGGTCAGGCCGAACAGAAGCGATTTCAGGAGCGCAACGACATCAACAATCCTGCAAAAAGCAGTCAGCACGGTCTGCCGCCGGCACGGGAAACAAAAGACGTACAGTCCAGCCACGAGAACAAGCACACCCGCGAGGACAGTCTCGACTGTGAGCAGCAGTCCCTGGATCGCTTGGTCGAGCCCAGCCACGAGAGTTCCAAGCGTGAGGATGGTGCCCGCGCCCTCGCAACTTTCAATGGTGTGCGTGATGTCCTGGGAAAGCGCTGAGCGACGAAGTTGTCCGGCAGGGAGAGATGCAAAGCACCTCAATGATTTCAGCAATCAGACCCGCGCACTGGGACGGAGACCCGATGCCGGAGAGCGAAACGGTGCCGAGAGCAACGACGGCGATCTCGATTGCGGCTTCCAGCTCGACGATGAGCGGGGCGATGGTGAGGTCGGTGGCTAGGCCACTGGTGCAGAGGTTGTCTAGATGTGTGGTCAGCTTATGCTGCACCGCAGCAACCGCCAACTGACCGATCTGCGGCAGAACGACAGCGACCGAGGCCTGGAGAGTGACGATGATTCCGACGACATCGACACCGGAGCCGCGCTCCTCGACGGCGGCAACCGCACCGACCTCGGGGAGAGGAGCGGGGCTGGCAGCCACGAAAGCGGTGGAGACAAGGAGCAAGAGCGAAGTGAAGTGGCGAAGGGCGAGCATGTTTCTTGGGCAGAGGCTGCTTGAAGGCGGCTGGTGATGAAAAAGACGGACTCACAGCTCACCTTTTAAACTGAGTGTCTCGGAAAATGGGTTGTCGCCGCTGTGCGTCATCGAGTGCCAGCGACGGGGAAAAACATGCAGTGAGCGCATGATGGGACATACCTCGACCGGGGCTTTGCGTGATGAATTAGCTTGACAGGGTGCTGTAAGCTTCGCATTCCTGTCAGCATTAGGTCCACTCAATAATTGGTGGTCAAGCCGTGGTGGTCAAACTCGACGAAAGATGCCATCTGTCAAGTACTCGCTTACGATAGCCGTAACGATAGCCGCGATGTGTATTCAGTCACACTTTCCCGTGGTACCTGCCACATGTCGTGCGCATCACAGCGCGTCACCGGTCTGTGTGTCGTTACACAGCATCTCGCGTAGGACTCCTGTTATAATCTAATCTGCTGCAATAAATACTCAGTCCACTCTCTTTTCTGAAAATGCCCCGCAGCAACACGAAAGCCCAAGCTCAGCAATTTGCCGAGGATGAAGCGGAACAGCTACTGCTGGCTTCCATCTTATTCTTCGACACTTCAGACGACGAGTTTGAACACGAACAGCTGAAGGAGTATGATGAATGGGATGCTGGGCTGATCACGGATGGTTATAGCGAAATCTTGCAGCTTGCGGGGTTCCAATGGTCAGATTTGGCCGAGTGGATCTCTGCTGAGGACAGATCGAGAGGCCCTTATAACCAGATCCCCAAATCACTCGATTTCTTCTCCGTCTGCCTACAAGCACCTGATCGAGAGTTCAGACACATGTTTCGGTGTGCCGTCTTTTCTGTCATGTGCGAATCAATGTTGATATTACTACAAGTATGGGCCGCAATACTTTCGATTCTCTGGTTGCCATGATCTTTGACCATCATGTCTTTCGACCACGAAATGCCAGAGGACGCCCCCAGCGACATGTCAAATACCAATTAGCATGCTTTCTCATCCGATACGGTGTCTCTGGATCCGACACCTTGTCTACGGCGCAGAAGCTTTCCATCGGACACGGGACCGTCTTTCTGTACTGCGGGAGGGTTAGAAAGGCACTGAGATCGCTGCGGCCTCAATATCTGTCTTTCCCGGATGGCGATCGTAAGGATCTGGTGGTAGCCTCCATATACAATGCGTCCGGATTCAACCACTGTCTTGGATCAGGTGATGGCTGCCTCGTTAATTTCGAAGAAATCCCGCTAGTTCAGGGGCCTCATTACATGTCTCGAAAGCGACGATTCTCGGTACGTGAACAATTTTACAATGCCACTTCTCATTGCTTAACATCGGTTTCAGACCAATGTTCAAGCGACTTGTGATCACGAGAAGAGATTCACCTCTTATGAGCTCGGATGGCCCGGCGGAGTTCCTGATGTCAAGGTTTTCAAACATTCGGATCTTTGGCTCCGGCGTAACCGATACTTTGGCCCACAGAATTATCTTCTGGTCGATAAAGGTTGGTCTTCCGTCGATTTCACTGGCACAATTTCCTGATTATCATTTGATTTATCTACTGGACAGGCTATCCAAGTACACCGTACACCATCCGACCATTTGACGAACCAGAGATTGCCTCTGCTTCGACCCAGGACAGATCTCGCATGCACCGGTTCAATCACCGACTCTCTCGTGTACGAATTTCGATCGAACATGCCTTTGGATTGCTCAAGGCCCGCTTCCCATCCCTGCGAAATTTGGGTCCGCATAAAGACATTCAAGACGTGTATAAGACCATTGAAGTCCTCTTGATTCTCCATAACATTTGCCTTGATCTCCAGGACAAACCCGAAGAACGTTGGAGCATGCGCCCAGTAGATGAGCGGAGCGAGGATGGCGAGCCAGTTGGGGGAATACAATCCGAGGAAGATCGTGATGATGAGGTCCCAGAACACGAAACAGACCATTATTTGAAGATTGCGGGTAGAGCGCGACGGTTGCGATGGCTCAATTGCCTGTATCCGACTCCCGATGCTTGATTTATATACAAGAATTTATTTATTGCGAACTATGAACATCATTAAAGGAGACATCGTACAAGTATTAGCAAATTTTTGAAGGAATGTGGAGCCCTAATTCAATGGCCATTCAGTTCGGCGAGACGCTTCAATAGAAGCTCATTCGCCGCATCAACAACTGCTGAGCTAGCGTTTGGAATGGACAAAATTGCCTTCACCGTATCAACCTGAGTCTTGATTCCGTCGAACTTGTTCTTTAGCTTATCTTCTTCGAAGCGTGCACGTGCTAGATCCACATTCTGCTGATCGATTGCGGTTCTTTCCCGCATTACCTTGACTTTCTCGTCATCGGCCTTTGCTTTCATCCTCAGAAGTGAATCGAAGTTAGTACCCATAGAGGATAATTTCTTCGATAACGGAGGAGCGTCCACAGTGTGCTTTGGCTCGGAGACTTTGCTCGACTCAGAGTCGGTGTCCGAGATTGACAAAGCAGAGTTGATGACATGTAAGCGGGTCGATTTGACGCTGTCATTGAATCTTGGAAGGAGGTTTGTAAACTCAGTGAGCATGCAAGATGAAGGACATACCGCGCAAAGAACATGTCAAACCAATTCTCCTCTTCCCATTCTTTCCACATTTCCACGGTGAGACCGCCAATTTGAGTACCGTTCTTGCGCGCAGCACTCAACCGCGACTGACACAACCCAAGTCCATCATGATTAGAAAAATCGGCATCCCCTGCTCCGCCGGTGCTCTTGCTGAGCGCGAGAAGCCACTCAAATTGACATTTGGCTCGGTTGAAGAGCGACTTGCAAGCATCAGGGCTGCGCCGACCATCAAAGAGTTCGATCGAGGCCTGCACTCTTCTAGTTTGAGCGCGAGTACCAAAAGAGCATAAATTACGCACTTTCTTGAACGCAACCATGGCGTTGCAGCCGAGGTATGCCACATTGTCCTTCCCATGCTCGTCCACTTCTGGATCCAAGATGAACTGGAACAGCTTGGTTCGCTCAGTGTTCTGCCAGGTCCGACCGATCTCCTCTTCCGGATCGACCTCCGGGATGATGTTCTCCTTCCCCGGCTTTTTCTTGGTGCCCTTCGAGGCGCTCTTTCGGCCTTTTGAGGTCGGTTTATTGACTCCCACAGAAGGTGTTTTTCTGGTCGTCGTCGCTTTGGGTGAAACCAAGTACGTGTGAGATCGGATTCGTTTTGGTGTAGATCCGTGTTCATCACTGGCAGCAGCATCAGTGAACGTGCGCTTGAGTGCATGATCGGTGTCTCCGATGGGAGAGCAGGGAATATCGGGATCGATGATGGTGCCGGATTGAATAAAGGGCGCGAATGGAGAGGTTACTGTATTGGTGTAGGTAGTGCGTGGTATCTGATCGGGTGGTGTGAGTGAATCGAGGCAATTGTCTACAAGATTACGGCGAGGGGTCATCGGGAGTGAGATATGTTTTGACTGAGTATTCAAGATCGGAGATGTAGTAAAAGGGCCTCTATTCAGGTTATACGGACTAGAGTGGCTGGATTGGCTAACTGCCGGGTATGGGTATGAGTAGTGACTGGATGCCTCATCGGGTCGAGGCTGTGACTGTGTAAGATTTGGGTTGTGAAGTTTGGTTGATGATATAAAAGATGATGATGGAAAGTTATATACGGGTGGACGGTATGGCTGTAGGAAACCCTGAGCAGCTCATCTGAGAGGAAGAGATATCGACGCACATTTGTCATGGCCTAGAGCGCGGAAGCACTTGCAACAACGTGAACACGTCAATCGCAGAGTGAGATATTGTTGTAGCAGCTGGTCACGCAACATGAGTTCTTGTATGCCTGTCATCAAGCAGAAGGTGCTCACATCTTTACGTGCGCAAGGCAGGGAGGGTATCGGAGGAAAGGGCTGGAAAAATTACCCGATCCACGGGAAAGTGTGACTGAATACACATCGCGGCTATCGTTACGGCTATCGTAAGCGAGTACTTGACAGATGGCATCTTTCGTCGAGTTTGACCACCACGGCTTGACCACCAATTATTGAGTGGACCTATTCACTTTGTCAAAATCCATGGACATTGATCTGCATCTCGTCATAGCAGTTGACTCCGCGGACAACTGTGGCTGAGAAATTGAGATAATACAGTGAACAAGCTGACGATTCTCTTCGCACATGAATCGCCCGGTTGTCTGCAAAGCATACCCACGGATTCGAAAGATCGTGTCAGCGGTCGGCTCAGCAGCGAAGCTCCACCGAATGATGGCACGGCGACTGGTCTTTCTGCCCGTCAACGTGGGAAAATCCGGGTGAGCTCAAAGTCCGCATCAGTACGCGGTTCCGAGCACGAGGAAGGCGAAGAAGCATTCATTCTACCTGGAGCTCGGAAGATTACATCCTCGACACGGTCTATCGAGGGGATTCCAGCCTGGTTCCGGCAATATCTGCGCCCATGAGTCCCCCGATGGTCTGGACAAGGGAACCCAGGTACTAATCTTCTCATCTGCAAGGCCAGCCGAAGACCCCATGATGAGAGATGGTAGCACAAGGGCTGAATCCGAATCCAATAGGAATGTCACCTCTGACAAGATGCACGATCCAGACCAAGAACGAGTCTCAAGAAAACTTCAAGATCAGCCAAAGCCGGGACGATGGATAAAGTGTCGTGGCGCAAACGTTCGACGTTTCTTGTATTCCTCATTAAAGCACCAAAATATCCGGTAAACTCTTTACCGCTAGGCTTTGCTCGGTTTTGAAAGGGGGATGGAAAACTGCGGCCTGGTTCAGAGTGATCGGATGATGGATCTCTGATCGGTGATCCGACATCATAGGCTGTTCCTAAAGTGACGTTCGATCCATGGAGTCGAAAGAGATGAACCAGGCGCTGATAGAGTACAGAGAGCTCCACGTTTTATGTGGAAGGTGAAAACGTGGGTCCGGTTCAGTACTCTATTTGGCCCAGTCTACTAATCAGTAATGCAGCCCTGAGATGGTTTGCCAGAGTCGCAAAATTGAAAATCATACTGAATCATCTCTACGCGGCTGGAGCTCCATCCGACGGAACGTCCGCCGCCAATGAAAGCTCTTTGAACAGGCCCGGCCTCAACCTTGGAATTTGGTCCTGAAAAGACTGATGTACAGTAGTGCGACACAGCTGTAACGCTATAAACTAGGAATCACGATCAAGATATCGGTTTCATCCCCCCTTTCCTCACTAGGCCTGTCGAGTGGACGCGAGCTGCAGCCGACCTTAATGGCATAAAAGGATGAGGATGTCTCTTCCCATCTAATATTGCACAACATGCCCGCTTCAGCGAACCTCAAAGAAACTGCGCCCGCGTTCTGTCTTTTCATTCAAGGTCCCCAGCGGCAACTCCAAGGCCGATGTTGACAGCCAGCTAGATGAATTTGCAACCAAGATAGCACAGCTCCCCACTGTACAGAAGAATTGGGCTGCCCTCGAGCTCGTACGACTTGTGTTTCCCTGCCATCTGACGCCGAGTGAGCGGATCTACGACCTTCCAGGTTGTTCAAAACAGCAAGCTGGACGAATCCATTGTCAATTTGGGACTCCCCGCACCTCAGCAATATGGAGCCATTATCACGCAAGCTCATGTTTCGTATTCTCTTCCTGCCATTTACGGGCCGAGAGCGCTGACATGTTTTCTTGCTTTACATTGCAGAGCACTGATCACTGCGCTGAGCTCAGCAACGACCCCTCGATGCAGGAGGCAATCGCTGCGGCCGCCAACTCGGGCGCGCTCGCCGACTCGTGCGTCTTCTCCGCGGATCTGCACACGACCGTCCACATCTATGGAGGCTAGGAACGGCAAGCTGATTAGCGAGCAGTTCCATCTTTGATGGCCGCCGGAACAATTTGGTCACGTGCTCGAGACCCCATACGCCCAGCGCAGTCGCTCTATTGCACAAGCGTCTTTCTAGAATACAATAATGAGAAAACCGAATGGCATGATCACAGACCATAGAATCCAGTTCGAATTGAGCAAGAAAAGAATATGTAAGTAAACTATTGCGGCTCATCAGACGCCGTGTTCAACGGAGTGAGTTTGAAGAATTTGCAGTAACGGGAGCATTTGTGTTGAGTGGGGAACTCTTGGAAAGCAGACCGGATGTTTCCACCACCGAAGATGCGCTCCTTGATCTCCCTGTCAATTTGTATGAATCCAGGTGGTACACATGAAGCAATGGGTGCTGAACGCACGGAGTTGTCATGATCTGAGGATCGCTAAGGCGACTCGGAGACCCTAGAAATCAAGCGCTCATGAGGATAAAGTCAATCCTCTGGTAGTTTGGCTCACCCTGAAGATCGGACAGAAAGACATTTCCGCCGGACTTCTCATACTGAATATGCTGAGTGAAGCAGAGGAATTCAGCAACAGCATAGTTTGGGGAGTCAGCAGAGATGGTCGGAATCGGAGCTGCGCGATTGTTGTGAATGAACTTGATGAATGTCTCGTCCTGATTCTCTTCTGGATTTGTTATGTCAATATAACCAGAGACTCGATGGCTGAAGACACACTCGTAGGTTTGATCAACTCCTCAATCAGGAATGTGCGGCGTAGCAATGAAGTTTCCTTTACATTCTGGCCAGCTGCACTCGAGTCGTGAATGAGAACCACCCCGGCTTCAACAAATCGAATATCGAAAGTCTTCAAGTCCGCCGGAGGCTTGCCGTTCCTCTTGATACAGTCTGCAATGAATGCATAACAAAATTCAAGGAGGGAGACGGCCCACACCAGGATGTTAGCCTCGCGGATGGTCTGGATGTACTCCTGCTGCGGAGTGAATTGCCTCAGATGCTCCTTGTCCTCACTCCACGATTCGAACATCCGCTTTGCTGCCACATGCTGGTTAGGGACGCTTCCCAAGATGTTGTCTGTCGACAAGAGGTTGAGATTCAGCCGCGCATTGTGCGCCGACTTGAAACTGCCAATGCCCAAAGGCACCTCCGACGGGACCATGGACAGCGTACCAAACTCAGCTGCTCTAATATCGCAGGTGAAGAAGCTGGGATTCTTGAGGAGATCATGCAGATCAACAGGGAGGATGCGATAAAACTCAATGTGCTCGGAGATATGCAGGGCTGTAAGCCAAGTTCAGCGGACAAATAGCGGATTAAATGACGGATTAAATGATGACACTCACGAGCGTTTCGTGCCTTCTTCAAGGACCCTCCCTCACTGAGCGCCTTCTTCAACTGCCGTTGATCTGGGGAGCGATACTCGGGTGCAGATCGCTTGCGAGAAAGAGACTGCGGCGGCGGCGTAACAGGGCGGAGTTCCTGATGAATTTGATCAGCCAGGTTATTTGAAAACATGGTCAACTCACATTTGTTCCCCATGACGCTCGAGCAAGATTACCATCAACCAATGATGATGAATCACCAGGGGCAAGAGCGGAGGGCACGGATGATGAATCACCAGGGGCAAGAGCAGAGGGCACGGATGATTCAGATCCAGTGCGGTTGTGCAAGATCAAGGATACGGAACCGGTCACTTGTTCGGCATTGACAGCAGAGGCAGATCCTTCTGAAACATGAGTCGGATTTTGTTGCATTGAGCTAGTTGAAGTAGATGATCGCATTGAGCTGCGAGTCGTGCATCGATAAGACCCTATAGTTGAACCCTGCAATGTCTCAAGTCTACTTAGTCTCATGTAATTTCGACGAAACAGACACACCTTCCGAGATGATTTCCGAGTCACTAGTTGTTTCCCGGCTGAAGCGGCAGATCCAGACTCTGTAGCTTCGGCGATCTGTAAACATCTTAGATTTAAATTAAAAAATGTGCAAAATGAGACGTTGTTGTGTACCTCCATATCATCTAAAAAGTTAGTGAGTCGAAGCCATTCACCAAGATCGATCACCAGTGCCACAGAGATCGGAGCGGGTGATGTGAAAACCTTGATATTCCGATCCTTTTCCGCCTTTGCCCGGCCTGTTTTGAAACATGAAGTGTAGTAAAATGGGGCATCGAACGCATCCCCAGTGATCCGCTTCAAGTCGATCCACTTGGCAACGTCACGAACAGTGAAGTTTGTTGTGTCGAACTCAAATCCGTTCTTTGTGTCTCGAACAATTTCTGCCTTGAGCTTTGCATAGACATTGTCAAACACGGTCTGGATGATCATTCGTGGCGTAGCACGAGCATCGACTATGACGCCCTCGCTGATGGCCTGAAGTTGAACAAATTCAAAAGTCGGTCATGGGCACAGATAAAAAATGGCGACGTACCCCATACGTTTTACCCTTTGGCTTGCCCAGAATCTCATACCGCACTCCGATGATGAGGGAAATTGTCTCGGGGGTAGCACCAGCATATGCAGCATGGGCCCATCCCGCCCGAGCGGCAGAGTACTGCGCGTGATTTGCAGAATACCCCTTGCCAGAGTACACGGGCTGCTGTGGCGGCGGCAGAGGGAGCGCAAAGCCACCCATGTTTGGAAGCGATATATGTGGCCCTAAATGACCTGTTTTGTCAGAGTTAAAACAGCAGATGAATCACGCACCAGGAATGCGAGCCGGAGGACCCATTGATCCAGGACCAATAGCAACGAGCTTTTCGTTGGCCTTTGGTGCACTGTCTGAAAAGAGAGTGAGAAATCACATTAGAATGGCAAATGGGAATCTGACTCACTGTTCACCCGAGCGTCGATATTTTGCCGCCGAATGATCACAGCATCGTGGAGCATGCTGGGTGTTGGCTGAGCAGAAGCGGTTCCTGTTTCTTTTTGTCCAGTCAGAAAAATTGAGAAGAGGGAGAGAGAAGCTCACTATTGCGAGCGGACACTGTAGACGAAGATTTGTTGCGATAATACTCATAACAGGGGCAACAGACAGTGCGGTCAGGCAAGTTGGGGTTCTTGTTCCGTACTTTGCGGCGAGTCTCGGTGGGTGCGATCCATTGGTTGCCTCGACAGTCAGGGCCGCGGTCGCATGGGATTGGACCACGAGAGGCGCCCTCGCCTGTGAAAGACGCTTCAATCGAAGGAGCGTTGTCAGACATGAGATGGACGCAGAAGGACAGGGTTCTCAGACACAGGACAGAGCACTCTTAAAGCATTGTGGCGGCTGAATTCTATGCCGGCTGACTATTCCACTGAGTATTCATGATTATGAGATTTCAATGTTAAATGATCCTTTGAGCAACGAGACGCGAGACGCGTTGAAAGCAGATTAAAACATGAGGCACGTGTCAACACGTGCATGATGTCATGTTCAACCCGACCCTTAGGGCCCCCGCGTAGCTCCCCATTTTGCTATGTTCCTTGCGGCTAGAGCCCATGAGGCCTGTATCTCATTCATAATCTTGATAATTTCTTTGTCAGATGCTCGAATCCTGACCAAGACTGTCCGATCATCAACGGAATCGTACGAGCTCGGTGTAAGTTGCAGCTGCCTCATTGTGATAAACGTGAACTATAAAGATGCTCTGCAAGGTGTAGACAGGTAATTACCTGCCACTCTCTTTTGTGTCCTTCTCTCTCAGTCCGCACCTGTTACACATGTCCAATGAACTCAAGCCCGTTCGACAATCCAACCAATTCAAGCCTGCTCGTCTGTCTCGTTTGCTGGTGTCGGCCTGGCCCTCTCTCTCTCTGATCACTCACTTACAGCGCCCGACAAGTCTCTTCGCCCACACATCGAGAAGTACTGGCGGCAGAATATGAGCGACATTCAGATGCTTGCTCAGCTCAAGAAACGCCATATCAATCTGGCTGAATACGGGCTTGAGTGTGTACTCATTTCATTCATGAGGTACAAGGATCTCATCCTTACTGACTTATTATCAGGATTCGAACCTTTCAGAAGATACGTGAAAGGCTTGGCTTTGTCCGCACCCGGAAGCAGGGCCATACTGTTGAGTCGATTCGTCCAAATGTTGCCAAGCTCCGCATCACATATCCGAAGGCTGGAGGGCGGGAGATGGTCAACTTGTTGAAGTTCGAGGAGAAAATACTTGTGTCACGGTGTGTTCTTTGAACTTTGTCCTTGATTCATGCCCACATTCACATTATTCAGGCCGGTTGTTATGCAGTACTTCCACCTCCATGAGCCCCTGCAGGTCCGCAAGCGTCGACGTGGACATTTTCGTCGAAAGCGGTTCTGGGCAGCCGGTGCAAACGACCTGTGGGCCATGGACCAGCATGACAAGTGGAAGTACAAATTCGGACTTGCGCTTCACTCTGGCATTGATCCGTTCATTGGTCTTATTCACTGGATGAAGATATGGTGGAACAATAGTAATCCTCGTCTGATTCTCAAGTACTACCTGGATGTGATCGAGCGGCTCGGTTGTATGTGTTTCACTTTTTTTCCCCCGCTTATTTCTCACACATTTGAGTGCATAGTCATGCCCCTCGTCATGCAGAGCGATCCGGGAAATGAGAACACCGCCGTTGCCAATGGACACACTCTAATCCGCCACCATCAAGATTCCGACCTTCGAGGCAAGCTTCAGCACCGATGGATGCGGGAGAAGAAGAACGTTACGTCGGAGATCACATGGAGTCAGATGCAACGGCGCTTTACGCCTGGTTTTGAGAATTTGCTCGATGTCGGAGTTCATGAAGGGTGGTATGATCCCCATATTCTCCTCGAAGCGTACGTGTTCCTTGAGCTCTTTTGAAACACTATGACCTATTCTGTCTGTCTAGTCTCGTCTTTCGATGGGTTTTCATTCCCTGGCTTCAGGCTGAGCTTGATGCATATCAGTACTGTGTCAACAACACTCGCAAGCGCCATGATCGCAACAAGATCCTTCCTAATGGTGTTCCAATGCATATGTTCGAGTATCCCGAAGACTACGCCATTCTGGATTTCAAGGTAACACTTTAAAATACTCAACAAGTCAGTGCTAAGTCTAACCTGTTTCAGATCAAAGTTGATCCAACTGCGATTGCCATGGTACGTAACTTGTATGCGCCACCGGACCTTCAGATCTTTGAACTGGTTCCACCTGACTTCGACGTCCTCATCTCTGGTTTCTATTGCGACATTGGCTCACCCTCTGTCGACCGGGAGAGCTGCTGGGACGTGTACCTCTAGCTACTGTCAAAGTTTCGTGAACTTGATCAGATTCACAACATCAACCAAAGCGCAGACGAGAAATGGGGCTACACACTTACTCAGGCTGCTGATGAGTACAAGAGCGAGGTCGAGCTTCTTCCCGGTCTCCAGGAGCTTCGCGGTGGAGACGGCGTTGTCGGAGAGGATGGTTCTTATTATATGGGTGGCGTGAACGGCGTGAACGGACTTGGTATGTGATTGGTGCTCTATTAAAGCACTCTGATGGACAAATTCAGATGACGAACATCGGGCTCAACTCAATGCCATGATAAACGATGTTGAGCCAGATATGGGAGGCGATGATATTCAGGGCGATGATGATGACGTGTTTGCATGGTTTTCAGACGAAGAGAGTCCTGAGGACTTTAATAATGCGGACATGTGGTAGACGTACTTGCTCAATTCGAACTGGATTCTATGGTCTGTGATCACGCCATTCGGTTTTCTCATTATTGTATTCTAGAAAGACGCTTGTGCAATAGAGCGACTGCGCTGGGCGTATGGGGTCTCGAGCACGTGACCAAATTGTTCCGGCGGCCATCAAAGATGGAACTGCTCGCTAATCAGCTTGCCGTTCCTAGCCTCCATACACATCCCCGAGGCCGACGAGCGCACGCACGTCTTTGGCGTATTCAAGACTCACCCAGAGATCCCTATCCCCGAGCTTCATGCCAGGCTGGAGCGACTGATGGATTCGGTGATGCAGACCGTTCCCGCGGCAAAGGCGAATCTGGTCCAGCATTCCCTGGTGAGCCAATCGCGAGCCTCCGCTGCGTCTCGGTGCTCATCGAGCGAATAGTGGTTCCAGAAGACGGACGCGGTGTCGGACCATATCCGGACCGCCGGATTCGAAGCGCCCAAGGACGACATCTTTGTCGTGATTCTGGAAACCGAGGTAAGTCCACTCCTTGCAAGGCATTCCATTTGATGTGCTCACCGAGGACGAGACCATGGACAAGCTGGTCGAGGTGAGTTTCGGCCCGTCCCATAATCTAGCTCTGATTCTCTTTCCCTATGAACAGCTCATTCAAGATCCGACGTTCCAGAATGCTATCACCGATGGACTGCAGGACTATCCCCATCTCTTGGAATGCTCGATCTTTTGTGCTGACGTCTTTCCGCGTTTGTGAGCGCCATGGGCCCGACGTTCGTCGATGACTCGTAATGATAGTGGCGTGAAATTAGTGTGTTGTGTTCTTGAATGGAGTGTTTCGATTGTGGATGAGGGGAAATTGCGGGACAAGGTCCGACGGGTGTGACACGGAAGGGTGGTGGCAGAGTGAGCACGATTATCCTCGAAAATGTAATCAGTCAAATCGTAGCCTCCGCCAGACGCACTCAAAGGCCGCAGATGACCATTGTGGAGACGCTCAGGCGGAGTCGCGGGCACTGAATGAGTGCTGCGGAAAGACCAAGGAGTGATCATGTGCACTGATGACATCAACCATCCTCACTCGGTCATCACGCCAAGTGTGTTCCGGCCGCTCCATCCGGAAGGCTGAGGGAGCCTCGGCCCCGGGACGTTTCCTTTTAGAGCAACGAGCTGATGGACTTCCCTCTCCAAAGGAGTCACGACAGGGCAATGGCGTAGATGAGTTTAGGTGTGATACTACAGTACAAATGAAAAGTCTTTCATCGTCAGGTTTCGAGTTTATTTAATAATTTTCCCTCAACCAAGTGCCCTCGGGTTGCTGTAGAAGGTGAGATAGCCTTTCTTGGAACTGGCCTTGAGAACTAGTCGATCACTTCCACGGCAATCAAGCAGCCATCCGTAAAGCTAAAGGCGGATCAATCTCAAGTTCAAAAAAGACACGGGGCTCTGTGCACCTCTTATCCTCAATGCGCATACTTCCTATCTCTGCCTGGCTTCGCCAGTAACCCAGGGGAGTAGTTCTTTCTCTCAAGGCTCATGGGATGAGGTTGGCACACAACCCATTTCGTAATGCTTCGACAAAAGCCGAGCGCTCGATCTAGATCGCCAGAGTCGACTCTTGCACGCACGTCCCATCGATGATCAAAACAAAACAATCAACCTTGATTTGGCCACCATCCTGTAACTTACCAAGGACTCTCTTTTATTGTATGCACCTCACTCAAAGTACTCCATGACGATGAAAAAGTATCAATCAATTCGTGAATGTTTCTAGAAATCCAGTCCGTACAAAGTAAATATCTTTCAGTCCATGATCTGTTTGGTACTTTTACAGCACACCCGCTCAGAGACCGAGCGTAGCCAAGGTCAGGCCGAGCGCGAGAGATCGAAGCAAGCCAGCGACGTCAACCAATCTGGAAAAGGAGAAGAATTGTCAGTGTCATGGGAACAACTCAAGGTCAATGGAGAGGACACGGACAGATTTGCCACGAGATTGAGCACGCCAGCAAGAAGAGTCTCAAGTCCGATCAGGACTTGGTTCAGCGAGGTATCGACACCGGCGAGGAGACCCCCGAGGCCGGGCACAGTCGACGCCGTTTGCGTCAGTCCATCGAGAGTGGTGGTGATGTCCTGGCATGAATAGTGAGCCCCCGCTTCCGAGAACGTTTAACGATGTGACGAACCTTAATGATACCAGCAACCAAGTTTGCCACTTGATCGGTCGACTGACGTTTGCGGGAGAGCGGGAGTTCTCCGAGTGCAATCACAGCGGTGTCCAAAGCGGTGGTCAATTGGCCGATGAGCGGGGTGACGGTCTGATCCGTGGCACTTCCACTCGAGACGAGAGAGTCTCGAAGCACATTAGATGCGGAGTACACACAGAACGACGAAGGAACAAACCGATTTTGGGCAAGATGGAGCCGACCGATGTCTGGAGGGTGGTCACGACGCCGGAAACATCCGCAGACGATGCTCGCTTGTCGACAGAGAGCGCTTCGGCGACGGGAGTCGGGCTGGCAGCCACCAGGGACGCAGTAGAGAAAAGGAAGAAGAGAGAGGTGAATCGGAGTGCGAACATGTTGCCTGGTGGATCTGAGGCTGCTTTGAGGATTTGAGGCTGCTTGGTGAAGAAATGGGTAGCATCCATGCCCGCTTTTATACCTTATTTATCAACCCAGACCGTCACTCGCGCGTCATAACGCACAAGCGATGGGAGAGACAAACGCGATGCATATTTTTGGTCGCAACTGAGGATCGCGTGAAACATTGGAGCACCGTAGATGTCGTAAAACCTTGTCTATGGCTCCAATTCATTTCAGAACGTCAATCAGACATCCTGATACAATTTTAAGACGTGGCCTGAGGCGCGGTCAGAGCTGAGAGTACTGTTCAGCATTCAGAAGAACAAAGCAATGCGAGTGCATAAGTCTGCGTGTTCTGCACGATTTCCCGAGGTTCACAATAACTGCTTCGATGAAAATCAGCTTTAACGTCTTTGAGCGCAGCTCCACAAAACATGTCACTTCTCTCCTCTTTCGCGCGCCGCCGTGAGAAATCACAAATAGACAATCCGTGAGAGTGAGTGCGGAGCGCGCTGGAGTGTATAGCCTGTCCACGTGTGCGATTGGGGTACGATTGGGCAGTCTTGGTCCGTCAGACTGAGTACAGGCATGATGCACGTACAATCATGAAAGATGTCGCCAGCAGCAAAATACGATACGACACGGACGACGCAGAAAGGGAAAATGGCGAGCTCTCGCCCGTTCTCGACAAGTGTCGGGGGAGATCTTAGAGCGGCTGACATGAGAGTGACGGACCCAACAAAAAGACAATGGAGCTGCAGAACTCCAGTCTCCGTCAGCGAAGACCAGAAGATTGGTATTGAGCCTGCTGACAGCAGGAGTGATCAAGTGAAATAAGTCAAAGCCAGATGGCGTAGTAGCTCACTGCCAACGCGTGGGCAGTCGGCACGCGTCCAGCCAGGTCCTGGTCGTGAGGTGGTGGCTACGAGCGTCACAATCGACGTCACAACCTGGCTGAATCACGGGCTCTGCTATTCTCCGCGGGGCCGTGACTTGACTGTCCGCCAGCCAGTAAATTTGGATGCTCGTGAGCGATTCATGTCATAGGCGCTGAGTCAAATTATGGAACTACAAGAAGTGCTCGACAACTACTAAATTTTAAAAGCAAGAGGGATTACCTACCGATGTCCTGTTACTCTCAGATAAAAGGACAACTAGGACAAATTTCCTGAACGCGCATGGGAACCTCACATCTTTTCTGTGCCTCATGTCACGACGGACAAGATGCATTACACCTCACTTGGGTGCTAGGTTCACATCCGGTCTACAATATGATACGATTTTTGATTGGGTTGCATCATAGACCGTCGCGTATACCAGATGACCCAGCGGCCAAAAGTGATTCGAGCTACATCCGTGTCAGTTTATGGCGACAGCCAATAGCACATGAGTGAGTGGGGCGGACCTGCTCCAGCACCTCAGAGCGCTGGGTCGTATCAGGTGTGCCCTCGCCATCTGCGATGCTCTGTTCCGACAGATTGAGCGGGGAAGCAACCTGTGACGGTGAGAAAAAGCGTGGAGTAAAGATGGATACTCACTGGTTCACGTTTCAAGACCTCGACGCCAGCAGTTTGCCTCCTTACTTCGCCGCTCCCGCTCGCCGCGGTGGAGCCCGCTAGAGGCTCATCTCTTGGAACTATGTCGATCAGGAAATCAAATTGGTCAGACTTCGTCAGTGCTTTGGCGATATCGGCTCTGGAAAGCGTCCTTCGCTTATTCGAGTCGGCGATGATAAACGCGCGCGCGGTGATTTCCGCGATGAATACTAGACTGAGAATGAGAAACCCGATGAGAGCCCGGGAAGTCAAAAACACACTCTCGCAGGCCTTGCAGAACAAGATCGGCGCTGTATGGCGTTTGTTCGGCGTGAGTGCAACTAATCGCAGGTGACGAGGCTCATGACACACACCATCAGCAGCGATCATCTATAACACAATCAAGACCCGAAGCGCGTCAGCCTCTGAGATGGAACCATAAATCCCCGCACGACGCGCCTTGACGTCCAGGTCGCTCTTCATCACTTTTTTGATGCGGGCGAGCGGGAGCGGCGGGTGTCTGTAGTCCGGTGCCTCATGCTCGGCGGCATCGATTTGGCGCTGCCAGAAAGAACGGAGGAAGTCGTTCAGTGGCTCCCCTGGTTGCACAAACGGTTGGCTGTTGGATGATGACATTCACCTGAGAGGGGGGAAAGGAGTGTGACGGACTGTGTGGCTCGATTTGGTCTTTGATGACTCAGCTGAAGTGACAGAGCTCGATTGTAACGTCACTCGGACCGGTAAGTAGCCGACGATACTTCCCCAACACTCTTCCTCCCCCACAACCCGACGATGCCCACGACATGCGCGTTGGTACTTTGCACTCCGAAGGAAGGATCGAAATTCAAGTATGATACCGAGATACAAGAACAGAACCTGGCTGCGCTCAAAGAAGGAGAGGTACTGGTGAAAATGGGAGCAGTTGCGTTCAACCACCGTGAAGTCCGTTGTCGTCCATAGGCAGAGCTAGATGATTATATAAGGACTCAATTCTCTTCCAGCTGTGGATTCGTAAGGGTATGTATCCACGCATCGCCAAGGGCAGCACAATCGGAGCGGATGGCGCAGGTTCGTTCGTCGACATCCAGGAGCTCGCCACTGATGCCTTCACAGGAAAGGTCGTCGCTTCTTTCGATCAATCGGACAGTCTACTCGGGAAACGCGTTTTTTTGACGCCGATGCGCGGATGGGAGTCTCATCCCCATGTACCTGAGAAGCCGTGAGAGCACTCGCTCGTTCAATGCTGGTGACTTATTCCACTTGAGGTTCGGAATACTGGGCGGTGCAGAGTATCCTCGCCTCGGAACCTTCTCTGAATACGTAGTGGTGGACAGGAATGAGGTCATCCTTACACCCGATCATCTATCCGATCGAGAAATGGCTGCATGGCCGCTTGCCGGGCTCACGGCGTGGCGGTGAGCAAGTTGCCGTCCAGCTGAAACAGTGACCCATACGAAGCAAAACAGATCAATCTCCCTCGCAAACGTCCCCACCAACGGTTCCGTGCTTATCACAGGAATCGGAGGCGGCGTCGCTCTGCTTGCGCTCCAACTTTGCGTCGCCATGGGTTTTAATGTATATGTCACCTCCGGATCTCAGAGCAAAATCGACAAGGCAATCGCATCAGGGGCCATGGGGGGAGTCAAATATTCAGACAGTGCGTATTGCGACATCGTCGGTTCCCCATGTGATTGATTCTACCATGTAGAAACATGGCCCAAACAGCTGGCCGCACTCTTGAAGTCACATGGACTCCGGTACGTCGACTCGGTGATCGACTCCGGTGGGTCGGAAATCATGCAGCAAGTCGGCCCCGTCCTGGCTTTCGGCGGGAAGGTCGTATGTTACGGGATGACCGCCGGGCCGACGATCTCCTTGTCCATGCGCGAGGTGATGCGAAATCAACAACTGATAGGTGCTTCCAGGTTTCAACTATGACTCTGTGTCGCCACTGACTCGTCCAAGGGACTATGATGGGATCTCGCCAGGATTTGATCGCAGCGACCAGCTTTATGGAAAAGCATAAGATCGTTCCAGTAATTGCACTTGTACTCGATGGGCTCGATGGCGCCGAGGAGGGCTTCCGGGTGATGGAGCGCGGGTCACAGTTTGGCAAAATAGTGGTTCAGATAGGCGAGGGAGGGGTTGCTCGGTCACATTTGTAAAGCAGACATGGGAACGATGTAGTGTAAGATGGTAAAAAAAAGTCAAGGCCTCAGACGAGGCCGCCACGTTCCAATTCGGCTTGAGAAGCTTGGATGAGCGACGTAGGGGTCGAACCTACAATCTCCTGATCACTTGCTATGCGAGAGCAGTCGTAGTCAGACGCGATGCCATTTCGCCAGTCACCCTGAGGGCCACCATGGACCTGTCGTCCTAGACTATACTGAGAAGGATTGCACTAGGCATGAGCGTGTATTGTTGAATCAATATCATTTCACGTGAGAGGCAGTCGAGTCACGTCAGTCACGCATCGCACCCCGTGACCGTAGTCGACACGTGTCCTTACTAATCCTTTGAGGACTAAGATACTTACCACATGAAAATTTTCGGAGAGCGAGTTATCACTGTGCCGATGTCAATGGAGAGGTCGGTATCAAGCTGTTGAGATGGCGGGAGACCTGTACCACTGGTACGTCCAAGTGTGTTCTTTCTCTTCGCTTGCCTCATTTAAGCTTTAGGGCCTTGGAATCAGCATCCCACTCTTCCGATGTCCCGACCTATTCTCTCCTCGACCCTCGTCTCTGGCTGAACTTGTTCGATAGAGGGCCGTCGCAGTTCAGACGAGATCGTTAATCCTGGCCATCACGTTTGGGCAGAGATAACGAACGACCACGGACCAGGCACGATTCCTACTCGGGCAGAGACCTTAAGTATCGATGTCTATGCCGAGCGCACTGCTCTCTCTTTCTCTCGCACCCCTGCTCTCCTCGTACTCGCGATGGAAATCCAATCGTCTACCTCCGGCTCGAAGATACCGCGCACGACCCGCGCTTTGATGATGCGCGCGCCGACCGTCGCACAACAGTCCTTGTACAACGATGCCTTGCTAGAGCAAGTAGCGCTGCCAACTCTGAAACCGGGGCAGGTCCTGGTCAAAATTACCGCTGCAGCCTATAACCACCGAGATGTACGACTCGAGGTCTTCCAGTTCCGGCAGTCATCATGTTGATATGCCTGCACAGCTGTGGCTGCGGAAAGGCCTGTATCCGAAATGGAAGGTCGGCCGGGTGCTGGGATCAGATGGCGCCGGTGAGCATGGAAGTGCTCTTCTCGATGCTCATCCAATGCTTCGTAGGCGTAGTTATCGCCGCGGGTGATGCGGAAGACCCTCTCCTCAACAAACGCGTGTTCCTTACGCCCATGCGCGGTTGGGAAAGCCACCCGCATGTACCAGAAGAGACGTGCGCCACCTATCAACGTCACGAGCCTTCGCAAACTCTTGCTGCAGATTTGGCGTCCTTGGCGGGACTGCTTACCCAGACGTTGGCACTTTCCAAGAGCACATCGTTCTGGACCGCAAGGAGGTCATTCCCACGCCGTCACATCTGACAGATGAGGAGATTGCTGCTTGGCCCCTGGCCGGTCTTACTGCCTGGCGGTGCGTGTACATCTCTGCGCGTGCAGCAGTGTGCTGACGGTCCTGCAGATCGATTTCTCTTGCTGAAATCCCTCCAAACGGGACAGTCTTCATTACCGGAATTGGCGGCGGTGTCGCGTTAACCGCTCTGCAACTCTGCGTCGGAATGGGACTGAAGGTCTACGTCTCATCTGGCGGACAGGGCAAGATCGACAAAGCGATTGCCATGGGCGCGAAGGGCGGTGTGAGATACTCCGATGGTAAGTCCCTCTTGAGAAGGACCCCCCACAAGTTTTCACCCGACTCATGATCAGAGAACTGGCCGCAAACTCTCGCTGCGCTTCTCAAATCTCATAAAACTGAGCTGGATGCCGTGATCGATTCGGGAGGGGACGAGATTCTGGCCAAGACCGCCAAGTCGCTCAAGTTCGGAGGTAAGGTCGTCTGCTACGGCATGACGGCCGGTCCGAAGATCACCATGAGTATGCCGCAGGTGATGCGAAACCAGCAACTCATCGGTGCGCACCCCTCATTTGGGTTTCGAATCGCCACCACCACTAAATCGCATTCTCAGGAACGCTCCTCGGGTCGAGGAAAGACCTGATCTCAGCGACCGAGTTCGTAGAGAAACATAAGATCGTTCCAATCGTTGGCAAGGTCCTTACCGGGCTTGAATCCGCCGAGGAGGGCTTCGAGATAATGGAGAAGGGAACGCAGTTCGGGAAAATAGTCATCAAAGTGGGATGGCCAGAGGGCGCCAAAGCTACTTTGTGATCTACATAATTGAACCAACATTTCTTCGTGTATAAACTTCTCTTTTTTACTGACCACAACATTCCTCTCATCACAGCCTGGAGGCCGCGCTTGAATGAAGAGCAAAACGAGGCGTTTGGGATGTGTGGTCACGAGGCAGATGTTATCGTTGCAAACATTTATATCCCTAGAAGTAAGGAAAAGACGGTGTGAGATGCCCGTGCAAGTGATGAGGAGTATCTGAGCCTGACGTATTCCGCGCATACATTCTCGAAGACTCTCATTGCTCGTAACAACATCATTAGGCAACATGAAAGAGCATCAGTGCCAGGTATGATCTTGCAGATATGATCTTGCAAAACGACAGGTGGAAGGGATGCTACGGTGCAAAGGCTGCCTACAATGAAGCAAGAAAGGATCGAGAACACCGACGCTAGCCGGAGTCTTTGCCGACGAATGGCAGAAGCGGAAGGGATGATTCCCGGGGAAGAGTGACAAACCGCGGAGAGTTCACAAGCCATCGGCCGAGGCAAAGATAGAATGTTAGAAACGAAAGCCAGAGCCAATTCGATTCAACAGTTTGTGGCAGGGAATCCGAAATGAACGAGGCCTGGATATCTAGTCAATTTGAGCGAAGGATCTGTGACCACTGAATACAGACACTGTCACAGAATATCCGCAAGATCGAAATCGAAGATTCAACGGACGTTATTTGAAAAAGGAATCATGTCAGGTCCGGTCCGCTGCGAAACCTCCGACACTTCACGTTACATCGATGTAAGCTGGGACGCTCCAGAGAGCCACGACTGCCAACACTCTAGAGGATTGGAGTCCTGTGTTCGGGGATGGGACAACGGAAAAACAAGTTTTATAACGAAGATTCACAGATTGACGAACAAAATTTCGAGTGTAGAACGATTGAACGGGAGATACTTACGCGACTCAGATTTCCAAACGTTGCAGCCGCTAATGCGATCAGAGTCCGAGGCAGCCCAGGGTCAGGCCGAACAGAAGCGACTTCAGCAGCGCAACGACATCAACAATTCTGCAAACGAGCAGTCAGCACAGTCCGCCGCCGGCACGGGAAACAAAAGACATACAGTCCCGCCACGAGAACAAGCACACCCGCGAGGACAGTCTCGACCGTGAGCAGCAGTCCCTGGATCGCTTGGTCGAGCCCAGCCACGAGAGTCCCAAGCGTGAGGATGGTGCCTACGCCCTGGCAACCTTCAATCGTGTGGGTGATATCCTGACAAAACGCTGAGCGACCACGTCCTTCGCGAAGGAGAAATCGAAAGCACCTCGATAATCTCAGCGATCAGACCCGCGCACTGGGACGGAGAGCCGATGCCGGAGAGCGGAACAGTGCCGAGAGCAACGACGGCGATCTCGATGGCCGCTTCTAACTCGACGATGAGTGGGGCGATGGTGAGGTCGGTGGCTTGGCCACTGGTGCAGAGATTGTCTAGATGCGTGGTCAGCCCGGATGACCGCATGGTCGACTGCAGAAACCGCCAACTGACCGATCTGCGGCAGCACAACAGCGACCGAGGCCTGAAGAGTGACGATGATTCCGACGACATCGACACCGGAGCCGCGCTCCTCGACGGCGGCAACCGCACCGACCTCGGGGAGAGGAGCGGGGCTGGCAGCCACGAACGCGGTGGAGACGAGGAGCAAGAGCGAAGTGAAGTGGCGAAGGGCGAGCATGTTTCTCGGGCAGAGGCTGCTTGAAGGCGGCTGGTGAGGAAAAAGACGGACTCGCAGCTCACCCTTTTAAACTGGAATTACCGGACACTGGGCCGTCACAACTGTGTGTCATAGGAGTCTCGGAAAATGGGTTGTCGCCGCTGTGCGTCATCGAGTGCCAGCGACGGGGAAAAACATGCAGCGCACGGTGGAACATACCTCGACCCGGGCTTTGCGTGATGAATTGGCTTGACAGGGTGCTGTAAGCTTCGCATTCCTGTCACCATTCGCTTTGTCAAAGCTCATGCACATTGATCTGCCTAGCGTCATAGAAAGCGAACCCCGAGTACAACTGTGCTGACATGTTGGGAAAATTCAGAGAACCAGCTGACGATGCTCTCAGCTCAAGAATGGCAAGGATGTCGACAAGACATACCCGCGGAATCGAAAGCTCGCATCGCCGGTTGGCTTATCAGCGGAGCTCCACCAGATGGCACGGAGACTTCTCTTTCTGCCTGTCAACGTGGGAAAATACGGGTGAGTAGAAATTCCGCGTCATTATGCGGTTCCGAGCACGAGACAAGCGAAGCGTTCAGAGCGCCTGGAGCCCGGAGGATTGAATCCTAAGCAGGGTCCTGCGAGGGGTTACGAGCCTGGGTCAGTGAATATCTGCGCCCATGAGTCCCCCCGATGGTCTGGACCAGCGAACCCAGGTACTTACTCACAAGGCCAGGCAAAGGCCCCATGACGAGACTTGGTATCATCCGGTTCAAGTCCAAATCCAATAGGAATGTCGCTTCTGACAAGATGCATGATCCAGCCCAAGAACGAGTCTCAAGAAATCTACGTGATCAGCAAAACCCGGAACGATGGGTTAAAGGGTCGTGGCGCAAAGGTTTGACGTCTCTCGTGTTTATCATTACAGCATGAAAAGATCAGGCCAATTATTTACCGCTAGGCGTTGCCCCATGTCGAGCTTTGTTCGGTTTCAAAAGGGGGATGGAAAACTGCGACTTGCTTCATAGTGATTGAGGATAGCCATCGCATCAATGGTCCGATGACCAATCCTCGATCCGATATCACCCATCGTGACTGCGACGATCTGACGGTCACATGCAATCCATCAAAACTGATTCGGATGATGGGACTCTTGAGTGAAATGTGCGAGGAACTCCTGCATGTCAGCCAGCATGAATCCAATACTAGTAATGTCCTACTGACCAAGTCCAATGTTCAGTGATGTCAATAGACAGGTTGTGGTGAGCCGTGTGAAGCCACATGCGGCTTGAAAATATGATTACAATGCTAGTGAGGTACTGTACTACATATTATGACCAAGTGTTCAAAAATTTTCGAAATTCTGGAACCAAAGATTTTTGTTTTGATTTATCGCAAATTTTGAGCACATCAAAAATTTAGCCAAGACGCCATTGTGACCTATAACCTGAACACTTGGTTGTAATAGTACAGTAGTGGGCATTGTGTGGAAGTTGAAATGAGTTCAACATGTCATGTGACTGATAGGCGCCAAAGAGTGTTACGTCCTTCACTCCAGTCATATTTGACCTCTAGCAACTCTCCTTTGCATGCCAAGCTGTCCCAAAGCCCCAGGTGGAGAGCCAGCACCCTCAAGGCCATGTCGCTCTGCTCGACTGCGGCAATCCGCACCAGAAGACCATCCTTCTCCCTTGCTGCCTCCCACTGTTTCCACAACACAATCCAAATTGCAGGCAACCCTTGAGACCTCTGACCGCAAAAACAACTGTGTAGACCAAGGTGCTGATGACTCAGGCTCTGAATTTGAGCATGTTTTGTTGCCTGAGGCTGTTGAAGAGATGGATGATGAGGATTTGGAGCATAATGAGGAAGCAGTGAAATGCTGAGGGTGTGCTTGTGACTGAATCGACCATGAAATCAAGTCAACCACAAAACACATCACACTCCTCTAATCAGCTTCTCAGGTGTGTGAAAGTGTTAAGGCTTCAATAGTGACAGAACACCAAATCCAAAATGTCTCTTGAACTGAAGACTGGATCTGAGCAGTTGCAACACTGTAATGTCACACAAAGACTCAAATAAAATCAACAAATCCCAAATCAAACAACCAAAAAAATCAATCAAGGCAAGCGAAAACTGGGTACAGGGTACTGAGTGCCCTTGTTGCAATGGCGTCAAAGTATATGACACCAAACCCAAATATAAACCAAGTGAGCCTTTGTACTGAGTACTCAGGTCTCTTGTCTTGACAGTGTCCAAATGATGATGCTAAACCCAAACAAATGTCAACACACTGCCAACAGATGTGATCCTAAGTTGATGCACTGCCAACTATAGCACCAAGAGCACCAAATCAATGCACTGCCAACTATAGCACTACCAAAAACCCAAGCACAACTGCCAACGTACTGCCCACAGAAGTCTGGATGAAACCAAACAGTCACTGCACTGGTAACTCAACTAATCAGTTGCAACAATAGTAGACGTGATGTGTGGTTGCAATAAATATCAAGACACAATGATCAAATCCTCTAAATCTCAACTGAAACTCAAGTAACAATGATTCACAGTAACAACAAACTCTCAGAGAGAGTAGGTCATGATCAAGCAAAGGTGTTTTGACTCCTGAAGTCTCAAGTCACAAGCACACAAGTGGGTTGTCAGAATCTGACTAATCTACTGATAACTGGGTGGCTTGTAGCCTCTAGTATGCTATCTACTACAGAGAATACCCAACTACTTTCTAGTAAATCCTGGTTGCGCTCACTAATGCCACAATCTACTGTACAGTTGCTGTGATCCTCTTATTAATTTTGCTGTGATCTCCTTATTCATTCCCTCTCATAGTAGCCCAGTACAAATGATCAAATTAGGTCCTGCGTTCAGGAACTGGCCTGTTTGCTCCACATGGTAGGACAATAGTTACAGTGGTTTTGTGTTATAACTTTGAAACCCACCAAGTTGGATTGGTAGGAAAGAGAGCTTGGCAACCTGTATCCACATGGGCATACAGAAATGTCCACAAAGTCCAGGCATGTTTAGGTGGTGGACCATGTGAGTGAAGATCAACCCAAAAACAAAGTCAATAAGAAGAGTGAATTCCAAGACTGGGGAATACAACACAATAGCTACTGTATTTCTACTGAGTCCAGTCTGAGTCATCTCTACCTCAAATGAGTCATGAGACTATGTACCATGTGGAGTGTTGGGAAAAATGGTCAAAGGGTCGATTAGATAATTGGTAGTGTAGGTTTGCAATAGCAATAAGAATTGAACTTGAATTGCTTTAGGGCAAACTGATGCCCTTTAGACTACATACTGGCCTAGTTATCTACTAGTAATGCAAGTAATCTAGAATATTCTACTATTGATTGGTATATGACTAAATACAATTATCTAATGATCTGGAGCATTCTGGGACAGCTGAGCTGCATCCCAGGAATTCTATTTAATTTCAACATGGAGCGCTGGTCATGGGTTGTAGTAGAACCTTCTGGAGCACACGCTGCACAGCCTCTGTAGAGATACAACTTCTGAGCCCTCAACCTGGACCATGTGGTACCATGATCTGTGATCAGATAACCCCATGTCAAGATAAGATAAGATGATTGAAGAAATGATAAAAAAAAAAAGTGATTGAATCATGACAATATGGGAGAGTCCTTAGCAAAGACCAGCTCCTATATCCAACTGAACCCCTAAGAATTCTCTTAGCAAGTGTAAGTTGAAGTGTCCTGATGGGGTTGTCTCAATGGTTCTGCTAGTTGTGCTAGTTGCACAAGGTTATACGTGATGTACAGATAACTCAAATACCAGCCACAATTCTTCTGAGTGCAACTCATTATGTTTATGTAGTACTAGCCTGAAAAATATGGCAACACAGATCTTGTTTGGGCACATTTTGTCTGGCACAGTAATTCCTTACAGGGGTTCAAGTTCAAGCAGACCACAACTAAGTGGTCTAGTGAATTCAAACACATGTCTGGCCTGCTGACCCCATTTCAACAAGGATGGTAAACACTGCGCTTGTCCAGTCTTGACGATCCCCAGGTTTGGCTACATCTCGACAATTCTTTGTCTTGACAACCATACGGCTTGGCCACATTGTGATGTATCATTGTCGCAAGACATCTGTGTTCTGCTATTTTTGTGGACTTAGCCACTGGTAGTCCTCAGCCTGGTATGGCTGATAGAACTGTTCCACAGCAGTGACCTGAGAGCCTCCACGTCCTGCCGCTATCCAAAGACACTGGCTAGACACTGAGTCCTTAAGTCCTGCTGAATGCAACACTAGCCATCACAACCAGATGCACCAAGTAGGAACAAGGGTAATCTCTGAAAGTGCAAAATTATTGGCCTTCTAGAGGTGGTGAAGAGCAGGTCTGATAGCCAGCTTATTAGTGGAGCTTGACACAGTATCGAAGCAGGCAAGCCAAGCAAGCTTCAAGTGGTGGCAACCTTTTCAAGACCATTATCTTGCCCAGGCTGTCGAACAACATTGCCCATTTGCTGAAGCACCCAGTAATCACATTGCTGCCTGGGACAAGACAGCTGAAATCATGCGTACTAATAGCCTTGCTGACAGACCACTGTCCATTACTGATTGAAGTGGCTCTTCTTGTTGCTTGCACTTCAAGACTCTTATGGAACATCACAGGGTGAGTTCCAATCAACTCTTGGTGACTGGTTGCTCAGACAGTATTCACGCAGAACAATAAAACTCATTCCTCAATGAAGATGGGTGCAGTGAAGGATATATCTCATCATCTCAAGGTGCATCTCTCCTCTGTTCCTGAATCCATGTCTGTGTTTGTTTTCACACACTGACATTTGGTTCAGATTATGACGGAGCTCCAGGCCTTGATGGATGACATGGAGCAAGCACCATCTCCCAAGAAGACATCAAAAGCAAAGAAGAAAGCTTAGATCAAGAAAAAAAGCAGGGTTGGAGGCACAGGATGCTGCTGGAGTAGGGGTCACGTGATGAGCAGACATAGTCGACACACATGTACATACGTCATCATCTCATCACTATAGACAACCACAAGGAGGCCCACTCCATCTGGTGACAAGAGCGGATTCAATGCACACAGACAAACACAGCAGGAAGATACAAAGCACAAAGCCAGACAAAGTGGCTGACAACAGCAGCAGCAACCAACACACGCGTGACATGTGAGGAAGATTTGCAAGAAGAGTCATAGAAGCAGCACCAGAAGAGACGAGCAGACCAAGCACCCTGAGCACCTTGCGAAGTAGTGGACAAATGACCCCATTCAAATTAATCTTGCGCGTGACAACCCCAGCACCAAGTGCCAATACCCTCCCAACGTTTGGTGCACCGACAACACCAATTCCATTCCCGACCACTACAAACAGTACCCCGACTACTTGCACCACCACAAACACAACACGTTGCACACTACAACCGATGGCAGACCATGACCCAAATATATTCTACTCTGGCAAGCATAACAAAAACACCATCAGCGCAGAAGATTTCACTTGCCACGTTGATAGGCTGGCTACCAGACGCGCTCTGCACCAGCTCTGTAAGGGCGTATTTTTGCGCTTTTACAGAGTTTACTCTTGAACCACTCGGTGTATCGTGTCGCGGTTGACAGTGTTGCGCTCAGTAGGACTTATGGGTCTACTGCCCAGTCGACGACTGTGGGTAGTGTCGACGATAGCAAGGCAGTTAGACCACTACTGTGGAACTGGTCTTATGAGTCTACACCAGGCTCAGGGCCATTAGTGACGAACGCTTGGACCGCGACCATTCCCCACAAAGGGATCTGTCGTTGCGTCGACTTCTCAAAAAGGGTCATTCTCTGCAGGTGGGAACTTGGGCTGAAGGGCTGAGCAATGTGCGACGTTCTCAATAATAGAACTACTACTGGACAGGACTTGGCGTTACGAGACTTAAACCATCTTGTCGCGGCAACTCCCGGTTTTGAGTTGGACGTTTCCTCAGATCATGCCACGACGACGACTTGTCACATGTCAGGATCCATTCGATCACGGGACATTGTGGACGCGTCGCGGTGACACTTCCAAGTGTCACGGCGAGTCGCGCCCATACCCAAACACACTAGAAACCGACACGGTAAGATCCGTGAACCGAACCATGTGGGGGACAACTGGCGTGCCTAGGGCCATACGGCTTCTTGGGGCGCCCACGTTGGTCTCACTTGCCAAGACATACCCGTTGGCCAATCCAGCACGTCGTATTCCAAAGTATGACGCGGTGGGTTGACCCACATCAAAAGTATCATATGGACTATGGGGCGGGGTCCTGATCACTCAGGACCTGTCCGATCGTTCAACTTTTCAATTACCCTAAAAGGCAACCGATCTTAGATAGCGTAGCTACTATGCAGTTGTACAGGACTTTACTAAGCATCGTCGTAGACAGTATAAGTAGCACGACGTTTCTTTGTATTAAAAAGCTTTCCCCCGGACTGTGAATCACTCTCATTTCAGATTGTTTTGTACAATTTGCGTGTCGCGTGATTCCACCCTAAGAAGTTCTGCCATCCCTGCCCGGTCGCGACGAGTTGCTCCCTGAGCACTTGTAGCTACTGTGATTTGAGTTTGAGTTGAGATATCAGAAAGTCGGATTCGCCGCATCTGGTATTGTCGCGGCATTTAGTGTCGTCGCCTTAGGGCTTTGTTGAGATCGTTCCACACCTCTAGCTTGGCAGTGCGTCGACTAGTTGTGCTCGGGTTGTTTTGGTCAGTTGGCAGTGCGTCGACTTGAGAACTCTGGTTCCACACTTCTTGCTTGGCAGTGCGTCGACAAGTTGTGCTCGGGTTTTGGACATTGGATATTGGCTGTTAGTTGGCAGTGCATCGACACGGCATTTTGGTTTACTAGTTGGCAGTGCGTCAACTCAGTACTTTGATTGTATTGGTTGGCAGTGCATCGAGTTGATACTTGGGCTTTGCGTCACCATCTGGACGCTGTCGCTACAAGGGATCTTAATACTTCGTATTAAGCTCTGACTTGTTATATTGTTGGTTGTGGATTGGATTAGTGTTGGTTGTGTTCGTATAGGAGATATTGGTTGAGATACCATTGTTTGCTATATATAAATTCTTGTCGTCGACTTCGTCTCCGCGACTATTGGATCTGCGTCTATTGAGAGTTGTGATACTGGTGCTCTGTCCACCCCGAAGCCCTCGCATCTTTCACACACTGAGAAGCTGATTACGAGGAGTGTGAACGTGTTTATATTTGGGTTTACTTTCATAGTAGATTCACTTGTGAGCACGCCCTCAGCATTTCAACGTCACGCTAAAAATGCAAAGCATGGCGCTAACCACCGACACCAACAAGCTGGAGGCCTTCGGAGACATTCTGATGGCAGGGGAGCCAGCAGACAAGTGGTGGAAGGTGAGGAAGGTGACAACGACACTGATTACACAATGGGCAGACGTGCAGACAGCATTTGTGGCCAAATTTGACGTGCTGCAAGCAGCAGAGAAAACCAAGCAAGAGTGGGAACAGGAGCTCAGTAAGCTCCCAATCTCCTTGGAAGAGCTAGGGACTAGGACAATGGTGGGAGGCGTGGAGACACATGCACATGTAGCGTTCGCACGGAAAATGCTGCGCATAGCAAAGGAAGTGGGGGTAAAAAAGTCAGGAAGCAACATCTGGGCAGCACGAGACTACCTACTGATCTCCCTTCGAGACCAAACACCAAGAAAAGCCACAAGCTGGGAAGTGTTTGCCATGACCATTGAGAAAGTAGACGTCAATAAGCTTGGAGAGGACTTGGACAAAGAACGTGAGAACAATAAACTCAAAGCAGAGCTCATCTCATTACGATCGAGGACCACACCACGAGCATTGGTTCCACTGTCACCTACGGCGCTGCTGCGCACACAGATGGCACACACAAACATATCAGCAAGCATGCGCATCCCACCGCCAACTTTCAAGTGCAAAACCAACCCACGCAAGCTCAGCAATCACCAGAGCTGCTCACCACGGAAGCAAAAGCCACGCTCACTAGAGTGGTCAAGAAGATGAAAGCAACAAAACAGTTACTGGGAATGACCCCAGGTGACGTCGTGGTCTAGAAAGCAATCCTCTTCAGTTGAGCCTTTGCTGGCCAGACATTCCATCAAATAAAATACTGTGTTGCACAACAGTAGTGTGATTGGGTGTAGGAGCTGAGCCCAGGGCACAAAGCCGACGGGGTGCAGATGACCCCGTAGACTCTGCTCTACTGCTGTACAGCAATCGAAAATCAAACAGGCTGTGGGTGGGTGGGTGAGCGTAGAAATGGGAATTTGTCGAGGATGAGATTGCAGGCAGGTGGGTGGAAGACAGAGTGAGCTCACAGCCACCCCCTACTCTTTGGCTCTCTCCCTCACAAGATGATGCATTGATCTCCCTCTCTCACTCAATACATCCAGGTGGCAGGCGTTTTCAGCATTACAACCGCCGATCTGGGTAGAACAAAGGGGGGTGCCATTATTGCCAGGAACAGTATGGCTGGGAAGTGGAGAGTGCTGGAATTGTGGGAAGGTATCAGTACCAAGGCACAGCGCCAGGAAATGCACGGAACCGGCAATTCCACCTGCTGAGAGGCAATTCTGCCGTATTTGCGCCAAGAACTTACTGAGACCAATGCCAATCAACGCAGTCATAGCGGACTAGATGGACAAGGAAGACAGGGGACTGTCAGATTTTCCGGAAGAGTCGTCGTAAACGCCCACACAACGACCCTGAGGCCAAGGCAAGAGCAAGGCCCAGGAACAGTACCATAGAAGGCACGCATGTTCAAGAAGACATCGGGAAATCGAATGTGATTAACCTCTATGTTGTGGGATCTGGGAAAGCAAGACAGTTTCTGCACCCAATTGGGGTGATAGATGCAACAGGCAAAACAATCAGGATCGAAGCACTGTTCAATGGGGGAGCAGCGGTGAGTGCCATGGACAAAGGAGTATGGAACCGCATCAAGCACCAGCTTGGAGTCAGTAAACCATCAAAACAAATGCTGCAAATGGCGGACAGGACACTGGTAAAACCAACAGCAAGCTGGTCAGGGGACGTTACAATTGGGAAGAGGAGAATAGCGGTGGACCTTGAGATCTTTCCAAGCAGAGGAGGCTGGTTGTTCTTGTTTGGGAAACCATCATTGGCAGAAGCACAAGCAATCCATAACTACACGAGAGACAAGGTAACATTACCAGGACAAAATGGCCTAGCGACAACGGTGCTGAGGAACGACCAAGCCCAACGGGGAGAGAAGAAACCAGACACGCCAAAACTGGAACGTTTCACAGGAGTATTGTCTGCGTTCAGCAAGGACAGTTCAAAGCAAACAGAAATACAACACACCAAAGGGTGGATGGAGAACGACACACAACGCAGAGGGTGGCTGGAAGAGATGGGCAACAAGGAGGCAATAGCAGTCATCCAACACATGGAAGCAAGAACAAGCGCACATGGAGATGATATTGCAAGCACGCAAGGAACATTCAGTGACATATCAAGCCATGATGGAATACCAGAAGCAGACAGCACGTCAATACACACAAGGACAACAGAACTGTTCAGCCCAGAAAGAGTCAAGGCAGTACTAAAACTAGTAACCATTGGACCGGACCTCACGGAAGCGCAGAGGGAGAAGGTACACACATTTATTGCAAGTTACGCAGATGTCTTTGCATTATCAGTGGCCAAAGTACTCCTGGTGGCAGGTGCCACATACGCGCCCAAAATCCCGGAGAACCATAAGTTCAGCACAAAAGTGCACCAGAAGCCAATGACACCTCTGCAGGAAGCATACCTACAGAAACAAATGAAGATGCTGGTAGAGGCAGAAGTCCTGAGGCCAATACACCCAAGAGATGTGCGGTGCGTATTGCCAATCAAGCTAGCCCAAAAAGAGCATGACAACCCGGGGCTATTGCACGAGGAACTAAAACAGGAGTTTTTTATTATTATGATTAAATTCAGCTTTATTTCCCCTTTGTCTCTAGAGATATGGTAGGGACTCTTTCTATACTCTGTGTGTTGTCTAGGTATTAGGGCCTCCTCCTGTATCGGGTGTCCGTCGCAGAGCTGTGGTCCATACGGTGATGGGTGCAGCGGGTAATGAGCTGCTAGGCGGCCGGGGCCGTGCTATGGTATGTTAGCATGTATATTGATATAATTACAGTACCACTCTTTGGCTCGTCCATTTGTCCATGTTCGTTCGTCTGCGTTTGTTCGTCCGTCTAGTAGGGTGTGTAGGGTGTGTTCGGCTGTATCGCGTCTTCGTGTGGTGTATGGATGTGGGTGTGTATGGATGCGGGTGTGTCCAGGCGGGGGTGTTTAGCGCGCTTGGTCGTGTCGTCGTCTCGTGGTGCTGCGGATGGGCATCTCTCCTATGTCTCCGAAAACTGCCTTTAGCCGGCCGGTGTGTGCGACAAAACGCATGAGGTGCGGGATGAGGGCTGGTTTGGATAGTAGTCTCTCCAGATCTTGTGCGTGGCGACCCGCTCGTCGTATCATATTCCCTCGGGCATTGGTGTGAGCCGGGCAGTGGAGGAGGAAGTGTCGGACTGTCTCATCTTCTCGGTGGCAGCATGGGCATACCGGTGAGTCGGCGCGCTTGATGCGGTATAGGTGTCTGGCAAGCGGGAGATGACCGGTGCGGAGCTGTGTGAGTACGCTAGCGTGCTTTTTGGGTAGGGTGGTTACGAGCTTGAGCCAGGCTCTCGATAGCGGTTTAGGTAGTATGTTGCGGAGGCGCGGGTATCTTTTGGATGCGGCCCATTCTGTTTGCGTTGTGTCTCGCAGGTGTTCGTGAAAGTGTTGTAGGGCAGCCGATTTGCTGTGTGGTAGCGTGTTTCGCAGTGCCCGTCGGAGGTATAAGTCACCGTTGCACGAGTTCGTCGGGCCCGCCGCCTCTTTAGCCTCTCTGTCCGCCTCTTCGTTGCCCTGTATGTCCTTGTGGCCTGGGGCCCATCTGAATGTGACGCCCGCGTGTGGGTGTTTCGCGTGAAGCTGTTCTATCGCGTGATGCAGCTCGTCCCATATGTAGTGAGACGGGGTGGGGTGTCTGTTGTTGGTGGCCGTTATTGCCGCTGTATTGTCCACGTAGATTGATACTGGTCCGGTTACCGCGTTTTCCCTTAGCAGTAGGCCGATGCCTAGGTTCATCCCAATGCCCTCCCCCTCGAATACAGTGTGGTGCTTTGATTTACCCAAGTGTTTCCTCGCCGTTTTTATTTTAGCGTCGTTCTGGTACAGCACTGCTGCCGCACCTATGTGACCGCTGATGCCCGACCCGTCTGTGTACACCTTCCACTCAGCATCGTCCATGCGCTCTGCCTCTATAGCGTCCTCCTTGGTGCCGTGTATCATCGTCCTGATTCGGGGCTCCCATTCCGGCCCATGCCGTGTTGCGGCTATCTTTTCCATCGTCACCGGATTGATTTTGTATTCGTCCAAGAGTAGTTGTAGCGGTGTTTTGTATCTTTTTGGTTTTCTCCTGTGTATGTTCCGTAGCGCGTGGTGTATGGGATGGGTCTTCGGTAGCGAGGCGAGTCGTGCTGTCGCTCTATGCCGGTGTTTGTTGACTGTGTGTTCGATGGGTAGTAGGTTTGCGTGTGCGTCGAGGGCATCTGTTGCGGTGGACGTAAGTGCTCCTGTGATAAGGATTGCAGCTCGCCGTTGTATTGTTCTGAGTTGTGGGAGTATGCCCCTCGTTTTTGATGTCCGGTGTTTGTGTGTCGTGGGGTTCAAGAAGACGTCGGCGCCGTATAGTATGCGGGGTAGGCACGTTGCTATATATAGCCTGCGCATCTGTGCAAAGCGTATGCCTTTGGTCGGTTTTGCAAGTCGTCCTATTCTCGATAGCCAGGTCTGCCCCTTGCGTAGGATTGCCGCTTGTTGCTCTTTCCATCGGAGTTGTTGGTCGAGGTGGATACCGAGTAGTTTGACCGATTTGGCGGGTCTGATGATGTGTAGCCCAAGTTTCAGATTGGGCCTGGGTTCCGGTACACGTTTGCGCGGTTGGAAGGTTGCTGGTACAAGCCTGCGTGATGCGTCCAGAAGTTGGTATTTGGCCGGGCCAAATATTGCATTGTGACTGGCGGCCCATTCGTCGATACCACCTGTACGTCCGATGATGTTGCGAAGGCTGCTGTGAGTGTCCTTGAAGGTGGCACCCGTGGCTATGATCGTTTCGTCATCTACGAATGTGACGCCGTGTTCTCCGTGTGCTGGGCGGGGTATTCTCGCTAACTGAGCGTTGTAGATCATGTAGGAAATGCCTGAGTGTGGGTCGCCCTGGTCGAGCCCGCTCCGTACGTCTGTGGGTGCTGAAATGTAGTCGTCGAAAGCTATACGCGCCTTTCGTCCCTTATAGCGCCGCGCCATCCAGCGCGTGTGTTCTTCGGGGATGCCTGCCAAGCGCATTTCATGTGTGAGTACATCCAGGTCGACGCTGGGGAAGGCTCCCTTGATGTCCATGCACAGCACGCTGGCTACTTTCTTGTCCCGCCATGCATCCATTACCGTCTTCACCACTATGTGTATAGCGTCAGTTGTGGCACGCCCGGGTCTAGCTCCGTATTGGGATGTGGGCAGAATGCCTGCTTTCTCTGCCTCCATCGTGATCTGCATTGTGCGGGCTGCGTTTTCCAGTCCTGGGTGGCTCTTGGATAATACAATCGGGCGGTAGCTTGCTGGTTCCGTATAGTTTGTTCTTCCTGGCTTGCGGAGTACTACTGTGTGGACATGGTTCCAGCCTTCGGGGTAGTAATCGTATTCGTTGCCGGCTCGGAATATGGGTCCTAGTCTGGGTACGAGGAGGTGGGCGTTGTACTTGTATACACAATTTGGGAAGGATCCGGGCTGGCGGGCTTTGTATGGCTTCATCTTTGCGATGGTGCGGTAGAGTACTTGATCGGATAGCGGCTTCCAAGTGTATGCTGGGGGGGGGTAGGTCTGGGGCGTGGTGTCAGCGTGTTGGTGTCTTCTAGGGGGGAAAAATTCCCGGTGTAAGACGGTAGCTTTGTCCTCGTTGGTTATTGCCACGATTGGTGGTCCATCAGGTGATGTCCTGTTCTGTAGCTCGGGGACGCGCACCTTTCCCCCGTCACTGGGTGGGCCCTCCGCTAACTTTTGGGCGTTCCATACGTCGGCTTCCGTTAGTCCATTCAGCCAGGTTTCCCAGTGCGCGTTCTTCGTCTGGGTGACCGTTCTTGAGAAGGCATTGCGTAGTTGGCGGGCCAGCTCGTGGCATGGGTGGTCCGGCACGTTTCAGTGTGCATAGGAGTAGTTCTGTGCTTTGCGTAGTTGCGCTCGTAAGGTTGACAGGCCAGGGTTCCACCAGCGCTTCGAATGGGGGGACGGTTTTGTCATTGGTACGTGCTTTTGGATGGCTGCCGCTATTGCTTCATCTACTTTTCTGATCTCCTCCTCAATGTCGGTCGCATCATTGATGTTGTGGCGGGGGCGTAGGTTCAGTTCCGATTCGAGGGTCTTTCTGAATTCCTGCCAGTTGGTCGCCCTCCAGTTGGGCTTCGGCGTGAACAGTTTGTTGCCGATGTTACAATGAAAAGAGAATAAGATTGGCATGTGATCTGTCTTGGTGGGCCGCATGGACGGGGACGTACCACATGTTACAAAGTCATCTACCATGTGTTCAGAGCAGAAGACGTTGTCGACTTGGGTATAGTTGCCGGTAGAGTGAGATTTGAGGGTGGGGATGTCCTTTGGTAAAACCATGGCCATTCGGTGGCGTCCGAGCAGTTGTAGCAACGTCGATGTTAGCTGTAGGTTGCGGCTGGTGAACAGGTGGTGATTTCGCTCCTCGTCCCATATCGGGTGGTGTCGGTTGAAGTCTCCGGCCCAGATGTAGCTGAGCTCGTTTCCCAGCGGTGGACGGTTGCGCGGGTCGGTGATGTAGTCCGCTAGGGTTTTCAGGCTGTTGTTGTGTTTGCAATCGTTGTATATGTTCACGACCCGGATGATGCGTTGGTCGGACCGTATCTCGATAGCTGTGATGTCGGGTGATGTGATCTGGATCTGCGTCCATTTCGAGGCAGGTATTGAGGTGCCGATGAGTATTAGTGAGCGTGTTGCGTTGGGGGATGTCTCATGGGTTGTGGGGTAGACCGCAGTGAAATGGTGGTTTGTTCTCGATACTCCTCTGAATTCGATGTGTGGTTCTTGTAGTAGCGCCAGATTGTAGCGCGTTGGCTGTAGAGAGTTCAGTAGGTCTAGTTGGGCGTGTAACGACTTGTTCAGATTCTGTTGCCATGCGCTGACTATCTTCCCGTTCCAGAAGTTGCTGCCTTGGTTGTGATTCATCTTTCGTTCGGCGGGGTTACCCGCGGGAAGATGGGTTCGCCTGTTCCCTGCTCGTTTACCTGATCGTCCCAGGATCTTGTCGGTGGGGAGGTTGTTCTCGTGTTCTTATTGCGGCGCGCGGATTGGAATGGTAGGGTGGTTTGGCGTAGCTGGGCTCCAGGACGTGCCTGGTCTCCAAAAGTCCGCGTTTGCTGGAGCGTGTCACGTGTGAGCAGGGTCGATGGGGCTTGGCCTGTGGTGGGTGGAGGGGGGGGTGAAGATGCCGGGCGTACTGAAGGTGGGGGGTTCGCTGGTGGCGGTCTCCATATGGGTCGGTTCCCTCCCTGGAATGTGCGTTCCTGTTGTTTGACGTCGAGTGCCTGCATTTGTGTGGTCTCCCAGCTGGTGGGGTCGTTGTTAACGGGATAGTAGCGGTACTGCGCATCCGGGTTGCGCTGTCGGTTCTCTTGTAATAGCTTGGCAAAGACGGGGCAATTCCGGTCAGCGGCACCGTGGCCGTTGGCAGGTAGGTTGTGTGCTCTGCAGTTGGAGCACGCCAGCTGTTCGTCTGTAGCTGCGCAGGTGCTGGTGCGGTGCATTTCTCCGCATCGTGCGCAGGTGTCGTGGATGGATTTGCAGGTCTTCGCGACATGTCCTGTGTTGTAGAATTGACATTTTACGCATCTGGTGGGTTCCTGCAGAATCTTCCTGCAGTTGACCTTGGTGCATTCAATGAACAGTCCGTATTTGAGTGCCCTGTTGGCCGTCTCCGCTGATTTGAATCCTATCATCATGTGGGCCACTCTCTGTCCCTGCGTTCTCCGTTCCTTCAGTTTTATGTATCGCGCGTTGGTAATATGACCGCTCCCCATGCCGTTGCTGTCTTCTAGCTCACCTATCGCGGCTGGAGAATCGGGATCGAAGGACACGGGAACGAAATCGGCTATGATGGTGAAGTTGCGTGGGGTGTGTATCGTCGAACCTCCTAGCGCGTTCAGGAAGGCTGGCATGTTGTCCTTCTCCTGTATCCACTCGGCCCCTTCTTGGGTCGTCATGTGTATGATTAGCGCGCCGTTCTTGGTTCGTTGTGAGGCTCGAGCCGTCACCTCTTCGGGTCTCGTGTCGTCGTCCAGCGCCGCTTCCCATGCTGCCTCCAGTGCCAAGTTGACTTTTGCCAGAGTCTCTCTGTCGTTCAGCTCGTTCCATGTGGGAGTGGTGTCTCGTTCGGCGCGGATGGTGATTTGTAGCTTTCTTGCCTTGGTTTGCGCAAAGGCAGTGGCTAGCTGGGGTGGTGGTGCCTCGCGTGCCGCTTCAGCGTATGTGGCTGGGTGTGTCCGTGTGGATTCCAATGAGTGTGCGGCTGCGTTAGCCGCGCGAGATGAGGCTTCTTCCATTCGCGTCTCGAGCCTCTCGGTGGCCAACTCCAGGATCTTGCATTGTTGTTCTACTGTGTTGGAGAGTTTCGCCGCCGCGGTTGTTGGTTGTCCTGGCCCCGTTTTGTTTGCGTCCTGTGTTTTGCCCCAAAGGATGTTAAGGACTTCCCGTACGTCGTCGCCTATCTGTTTGGAGTGGTTCGGGCTGTTGAGCGTTTCCACGAGGTGTGCAATGGTCCGCAATGCGTCTGCTACGATTACCGAGAGTCCACTTGTGCCAGCAGCCCGCAGGATTGCCAATGCTAGGTCGCTTGAGGATGGTAGGTCGCTCACCGTTTCTGCCAGAAACCCTTTGGCTACCAAGGTTCTCGTGGCCTCCTGTGCTGTGATTTTGTTGAGGTCTATACCTGAGTCTGTCTTATAGAGCTGGGCTCGCGTTAGGTCTGTTCTTAAGTACATTTCTCTCGCTGGGGTGGATCTGGTACCCATAGTGCGTTGTGACTGTGTTATACCTGATGACGGTGTATTCGCTGGTGTGCTGCTTCGTTGTGCGCTTGGACCATTCATATCTTTCGCAGTAAACAAATGGTATAGATTTAAGAGTGAGTGTGCGAGAGCCGCTGCGTGCCCCGTCGAGTGCCCGCCGAGACGAAGAACGAGGTCGCGGGTTGCCGATCAGGTGCACGTGGTGGTTGTTGCCAAGAGAGATCCCAAAACAGGAGTTAAACAAAGCTTGCAAATGGGCAGGACTACCACGTCCATACAACAGAAACCTGACAGGATGCACATGAGCACCAGAGCGTCCCCAGGGACAAAAATGGCGAATCTTTCAAAACTTCCATGAGCTCAAGGCACTGCTCAAGGTGGTACCGGTACCACAAGGAGACATACGAGACAAGCAACGTCAGCTAGCAGGGCATTGGTACATATCAATCTTCGACTTTGCATCCGGGTTTTTTGCACTTCAAGTGGATGAAAAGGCACAACCATACCTAGTCATGTTCATGCCGGGCATGGGATGCTACGCATACACAAGGATGCCCTTTGGCCTCACAGACGCGCCAATGGAATTCGGCACAATGTGCACAGAAAAGCTAAGTGATCTACTGGTCAGAATCATGGAATTGTTTGTGGATGATGGAGGCTCAGCAGCGGACACATTCGAAGAAATGCTAGAAAAGCTGAAAGAGGTATTCGATCAGGTGCGAGCAGAAGGGCTATCCCTATCAGCGGCAAAGACAAAGCTCTTCATGACCAAGGCGGTTTTTGCAGGCGCACTAGTGGGACCAAAGGGAGTGGCACCAGACCCAGCTAAGCTAACAGCAGTGGTTGAATGGAAAACTCCCAAAAACGCGACCAATCTTGCAGCATTTCTGGGGCTAACCGGCTATTTCAGGGATATCATAAACAACTACGCACAGGAGGAAGCACCGCTAAGAAATCTTCTGAAAGAGGTCCCAATACCAAAGAACGCCAGTTGTCAAGTCTACTGCAGCGTGATGAAGAATCACGACCTACAACCGAGATGGAAGGAGGAACACACAAGGTGCTTCTTACGCTTGAAACAGATTGTGATATCCGTGCCAGTGTTACGAGCACCGCTCTACGACATAGTCCACCAACACCCATTCATTATTACAACAGACAGGAGTAAGGATGCGTTCACAGGAGTCCTATCACAACAAGTAGAGTCCAAGACCGCAGAAGGAAGAGTAGTAGTGCGGAGGCACCCAATAGTGTTTGCATCAAAAAGAACATCGAAGGCAGAGGAACATTATCAACCACACCTTCTGGAGTTTGCAGCGCTCAAATTTGCATTGGACAAGTTTTCAAACATTGTATGGGGCCAACCGATATGGCTGGAAACAGACTGCCAAGCCCTACGGGACATACTCAACAATGAGAAGCTTAATGCTACTCACATGGGGTGGCTGAACAAACTTCTAGGATACAACATTGTCGGAGCCGAGCACATAAAGGGAACAGCAAACGCAGTGGCGGACGTGCTCAGTAGAGTAGCAGAAGGCACAGAGAAGGAGAAAGGAGACGGGAGCAAGTGGACAGTCTCGCCAGAATGGGAAGCAAGGACAGAACTGGTGAACAACCTCTTTGCAGTGAGCGACAAAGAGCTAGTATGCACAGTGTTACCATTGCCAGAAAGAACAGAAAGCCTACGACACTGCTTCAAGAGCAAACCAATGTACCTAGAAGTGATTGACGCAATCACAGAGCTCAACCTAGGCACGAGTGTTGCAGAACAGAAGAGAGCAAGCCACTGAGCATCCAAATACTTCATAGAAGGCGGAAAACTGTGGAGAGTGGGCGGGGGACCAAAGCTACGAGCAAGAGCGAGGCGAGAATGCATAAAACGAGAGGAAGCATACAAGGAAGCAGCAAGAGTGCATGCCAAAGGGGGTCATTTCCACAGAGACTCGGTCAAGATAACGCTGATGGACAAGTACCACAGCCCAGAGCTGGAAGAATTAATCATGAAGGCATTAACAGATTGTGCAAAATGCAAAGGCTTTGGCCCAGCAAACCTGCACGCATTGATGGAACAGATCACACGACGAGAACCCTTTGAGCTCATAGTAGGCGACTACCTGTCAATGCCAGATGGAAAGGGTGGATACAAAGCAATAAGCCTATACCTGGACACGTTCTCACAATTCGTTTGGGGTTTCATGTTAAAAGAACCAGGATCAGCTAAAACAACAACAGCGGCTCTGGAAAACATATTCGGGGAGTTCCATGCACCGGAAGTCTTCATGTTGGACAACGGTAAGCACTTTGCCAATAAAGAAGTTGAAGCACTATGCGCCCGCAAGAAGGTCAAATTCCACAAGGTAGCGGTGTATGCACTGTGGATCAACAGACTGGTGGAAGGAGCAAACAAGCTTCTACTTCATGTGCTAGCAAGGCTATGTGTGCCAAATGTGGGTGAAGACAAGTGGAAGGCATCAAGAAAAGACAACCTACCACGCCGGTAACCCAAGCATTTTGACAGAGCAATAGAGATGCTCAACGACTGGATCCTACCTGCAGTCAAATTCACCCCGAGAGAGCTGATGTTTGGCATAGAAACAAAGGAAGCACGCAAAGATCGGACAGAAGCAACTACGAGCGCATCAGCAGGCAAAGCAGCTGAGCACATGGCTTACGTGGAACAGACAAGGCTTGACAGATATGCAGAAAGGGTGAAGTACGCGCTAGGAAGGAAAGCAGCATTTGTCAGGAAGGTGCTAAAGTCGAGAGCGGGAGAGGTTGTGTTTGACAAAGGAGACCTGGTGCAAGTGTTCCAAAACAACCTAGCCGACACAGTCAGCAACAAGAGGAAGCTGACATGCTGGTGGTCTGAGCTGCACAGAGTTGAAGAGCGCATACTCAACTTCTATCAGCTGAAGACAATCGAGGGAGTGCAAATCGAGGGCAGATACAATGCCAGAAGACTGTCAGGGGAACCCCTGCTTTTGTCCGATCATCATGGGATCTTGCATGTGACCGTGCACGTGCCATCTGTCAGGCGTCACATGCTTTGGTCCGGACTTCCCTGCCAAGCACAACCACATGACACTCCGGCCCGGACCCCTATTGTTCCGACGGTCCGGCTCCCATTGTTCTCCCTGATCTGGCCCCTCATTGTTCCCTGGCCCCATTGTCTGACGCTTCCATTGTGCTTGGTCATCCATTGTTCTGTAGGCTATATATAGTGGGCCCTGACAAGGAGAGTCCCCAACTCGGTTTCTCTTTGGACTTGTGACAATCAACCCAAAAACAAAGTCGAAAAGAGAAGTGAATTCGAAGACTGGAGAATACAACCAAGTAGCTACAGTATTTATACCCAAATCCAGTCTGAGTCATATCTACAACTAATGAGTCATAAGGCTATGTACCGCATGGAGCACTGGTCATGGGTTGTAATAGAACCTTCTGGAGCATATGTCGCGCAGCCTCGAATCGATGAAGATAATCCTTGGAACACCTAGTCCGGACCGTCGGATGCCTTGATCCGTGATAAGATAATTCGTGCCGAGATAACGAGATAAGATAAGATAGTTGATGATAAGATGAAAAAGGGTTGAACTATGACAGGACTCTCTCTTGTCAGGTTTGCCAGTCTCCTGTATTTAGTTGATCCCTTTATCTGACGCTTTGGACTCTCCCTTGTCAGAACTCTGAGATCGGGCCTCAAGGTTGCCCTTACAAAGACTGTGAAGATACAAGGCACGAGAGGGGACGCCCTTAGCAAAAGTCCAGGAGGAGCACAGAAGAAGGGCAAAGGAAAAGGACAGAGCAGACGAAGGAGACACAGCAAGGAGACACAGCAAGGAGACTGAGGGCTGAAGCGGTGGCAGAGTTAGAGCAGTGGCACATACAACAAGCGGAGAAGGAACTCAAGAGCCAGGTGAGCAGCGAGGATGCCACCATTTGAAATGGAGGCACATGGAGTAGGGGTCACATGACAAGCAGACATAGTCAACACACATCTACATACATCATCATCTCATTACTACAGATGACCACGAGGAGGCCCACTTGACTGCCATCATAGGCATGGTTGACACATCAAAACTTATGGACATGATGTAAATCAAGGGATCAGCTTTCTGCAAGAAGCAGGGGCAACAAAGTTATGTGGCACATATTACTAGCTACAGGCACCAGCGCGACCCTCTCCTGGATACCACAAACAATAGCCAGTCTAGCAATCCTTATCCCAAGAAGTGTTGTCAAGGGATGAATGCTATCAGTGATGCAGTCAAGAACTGCAACCAACTTCTTGATAAGGAACTCAAAGATGCAAAATACTATGGTGATGAGCAACATAAACAGATCATTGCAGGACAGGATCAGATTGTTGAGTCGCAGGAAAAGATGACTGAAGTATTGGATAGACTTCTTGCACAGATCAAGGGTTTGCACAAGGATGCACAGAAGTACCAGGATGTGGGAAACTCAACACAAACTACAGAGATGATTGTTGAAGTGTTGACAAAGAGGAACTAACAGTTGAACATTCAATCACAGACACCAGAATACAAGATCTCAACTTGCTTATCTACTGTGCAATTGTCAATACAGTGCCTGAATTTGATACTAGTCTACTTGAGGCCCAACTCGTTTTGTTCATTATCATTGGAAGCACCCTCCTTGAGAATCTGAACTTGTGTTGCTGGTGATTCGAGACACCATACATCAAGTTCAGCATTGGGAACTGGATCCCCTTACAGGTATTAGGCGAGGGTGGGTAGAGTGCAATCAAAGTACTTTGAGACTTGGTTGCCATGGAGGATGGTGTGGCAGTTGCAAAGGAGAACAGAGACCAAGTAATACAATCCAACAGGCTGAAGAAGAAGCTTCTTGTTTGCCACATAATTCAAGAACACAAATTGTTGGCCAATCTCTTTGATCATCTATTTGACCAATTCACAAATTTTGGCGATTTTCCCATTGACTGAGCTGGCAACTCTATCAAGTGACCCTTGTAC